GGATGCAGACTAGGGGCTGTCAAACATGTTCTGTACAGGACCAGATGGCAAATACTTTAGGTTTTACAGCCCACATGGTCTCTGTTGAAAGCACCCAGTTCTGCCATCAGAGCACGAAAGTGGCTATAGGCAACACGGGTGTGATTAGGTGTGTTCTGCTAGACTTTATTGGCCTTCACGAGCTTCCAGTCAGATGTGGACTCTAGGTCACAGCTTGCAGACCTCTGCTGCAGATCAGCAAGAACAACCGATGATAAGCATAGTGCACTCTGTGTTTCATGAGAAGGTCAAACACTAAAGAGTAAAGTCATATAACGCTCTGTACTTTGTTTAAAACATATAAAAAGCTGGAGGTGGTGAAGCATACCTGAAATCCCACCACTTAGAGAGCTGGAGGCAGGAAGATTTTTCGTTTGATGCCAGCCTGGGCTACATAACAAGCCATCATTTCACAAAACCAAAAACTCAAGCCCAAACAAAAACACACAGCAGCAATGGCAAACTGGACAGGTGTAAGCCCTGAAGGGCGCGGTGGTGGAGACGACCGCCTCCCTTTTTAGGTTATCTCTACGTCAGCGCCTGTGTGTTGAACAACCCAAGCCACAGCCAAGTCTGCCAGATACCCAGGCTTAACTCAAAGCCAGAAAGATTACACCACTAACACCGAGGCAGGCGATGAAATCCTTCTCTTGGAGGATTTATCCGAGGGAAGATGCTGACAAGCCCAATAGGTTTCAAATGCGATGGGTGTGCAGGTGGTCGAAGTCAGCGCTGATCCCTTGTGCTACATTTTAAACTTGAAATTGCCCATCACTAGTCTGTCCTGCATGGCTCACGCCATTTACATGGTTTCTAACCAACCACCCACATCAAATAGAAGCTTGCATTTAAGATCAAAGTTAAATATCTTCCTTAAGGATCTTCAATCACTCGCGTGATCTGGCTGGTTCTTTCTGTCCTTGACTTAATCTCGCTCCGTCTCCTGGAAGGTCCAGGCTGTCTCCACACCGAAGTAAAAGCTATGTTGCAGATAAACAAGTTCAGTCTCTTCAGAGGAACTTCAGACCAGAGGCAACACCGTGTCTAGAATTCTAGCTTCAGAGCTTTACCGAGTCTCCCATCAATGAAGAGTAACCTTTCTGACCCTCTGGGTCAAAACAGCATCAGTGTTCCGTGAAAGCACTTGGAACTCATGACCTTACAGAGGAGGGAGATGGTCTTAGGCCATTTGCCATTTGCTTTTCCTGTGAGAGCCTGAGATTCTGTCGGGGGCAGAAGGAAGCAAGCAGAAGGGCACTGATTGCTTGAGACAGGGACAAAGCGGGGATCTCAGTGTGAGAGAAAGACAATCAAGAGGCTAGCAGCTGATTGTGGATGGTATTCTTGGCCCACAGGAAAGCCTTGCCCAGGACCAGCTCCAGCAGTGAGTCATGTCTGCCCTGTACATTGCACTCAGCTGTTCGGGCTTCTGACCCTTCTCTTGGGAAGCCAGAAACATCAGCCGATGGAGAAATAATACACAAGAAGCTCTCAAGACAATTATCATTGTATCTCTGAAAATAAGGGCATCTAAGTCTGTCCACCAAATAGCAATTCCCTGTGTCTACTTCCTCTACTCCAGTCACTAGACCATTCTGCCGCTGGGCGATTTTTCCTTCTTCCCCTGCATTTGAACTTGCTGATCGCCTTAAATGGAGTTGGAATTCAACAGCTGTTGGTTGAAAGGAATGGGGTTCACACTGTTCTTTCACTCATTCTTTGCATGTATTACGGGGTGACTGCCATATGCTGTATAGGGCAAGCATGTTTCAGGGTTTTTTTCTCTCCTCTACTCAACAGATCTAGCTTGCCTCCCTTGAAGCCTTTCAAGATTAATCTAGGTAAAAAATGAGTCATTGTTTTTCTGCTCCATAACGTTCTGCATTCTCCTGAACCTTGCATTGCCGTGGTATTCTCAAAGAGTTTGTGTACAGCACAGTGGTTCTTAAGCTTCCTAATGTTGTGACCCTTTACTTTAATTCAGCCCCTCATGTTATGGAGACCGTAAAATTATTTTCATTGCTACTTCATAACTGCAATTTTGCTACTGTTGTGAATTGCAGTGTAAATATGTAACTGTTTTCCAATGGTCCTAGACAGGGGTCATGACCCACAGGTTGAGAACCAGTGGTATAGCAGCTTTTTCTGTCTTTCCTGTGTCTTCACTGCCCTCTTGTGATAATGGCTGCCTGGAAATGTTCAAAGCTACGTTGATTACAGCTTTGCAGACAAGCTGTTTCTGATAGTCTCTGCCCTTGCACAGCCTGGAGTTCTAGAAGTCTCTCCCACTGATGTCTACAGGGGAGCTGGATTTCAGTAAGCCACTTTAACACAAATACCAACAGCAGCATGAACTCAAGATTATATTGTCAACCTAAATTCTTTAATACCAAAATCCTTAGAAGGAAAATTGTCTTATTTGGAATAAAAACTCCAAGGTAAAGAGAAAGTTTGCTTTCAGATGTGTTACAATTTGTCAAAAGCTTTGTTTTTTTTCAGATCTTGAGTAAATAAAAAAGCAAAACACACACCTGAGTAAATAAAAAAATACACATACATACACACAATGGTTAAGGGCACTTGCTGCTCTTGCAGAGGATGTGGGTTCAGTTCTGTGCACCCACATTGAGTGGGTCACAACCACCTGTAACTCTGGTTCTAGAAAATTCAGCATTCTCTTCTGACTTCTACAAGCACCAGGCTCAGATGCTGTGCAAGCAAGCACTCACGCATACACATAAACTAAAATATGTCTTTATATTACAATTTACACATTAAATAGTACTACAACAGAATGGTTTTTGATAGTGTTTTAAACAGAAAAGGGTCTTTTTTTTTCAGGTTAAAAATCCCTCTCCCCAAAAGATTTGAATCACTCTTTAAAAGTGGGTATGCCAAATGTGAGTAATTGTGTCTAAGTCCTGTGTCACTAATAACCAATGAAATTAAATGCAAGATTGCATTTGTTTTGAAACGAGCGATCAACAGGAATATGGCTGCACGCAGCCCTCCTGACGACGGCTCCCTATCCAGTCTTGCTCTCCTTGTTCTAAAGGTTTTCATTCTTTAAGCTCCAGGGGAAAAAGTCAGGAAAACCTAAGGGGAAAGTTTCCCCACCCCGCTAGCCTCCACCTAAAAGAGGTGGGGTAGGCGTGGCATAAGGACATACTTGATGTTTGCTAAACCGTGGAAGGAATTTTAAAAATTGGCAGCTAACTGTGATTTTGGGGGGCTTGTGCCTCTGTATTTCCCCCAAGTTTGCCTGCTCTCCTGTTCTGCGCTCAAAGGAGGGGAACGCTGGCGATCTTTCTATACATGGAGAATGGATGCTTTCCCCATCGGAGAGGCTGCATCGTTTAGTTTGAGGCTAAAAAAGAAACTGTAATAATAATAGTGATGATGATGACGATGATGATGATGACGATGATGATGATGATGATGACGATGATGATGATGATGATGATATAGTATGGCGACTAAGTATTCCTATAACTACAGAAGAGATTTATGGAAACAGCATCATAGAGATCTCTATGACAAACAGGAACCGCAGGCAGATCATGTGAAAGCTCTTCCAGGAAAAGCAGAGACCAGAGACCTGGTTCCCTCAGTCTTCGGAGGCAAAGTCTACCTCTCTTGCTTGTACAAAGAATCAGTGGTTTCTCTTTTAAAAGAAAAGTACGGCGGCAGCTGTTGCCTACCGCTCAAACGACAGTTCCACAGGGTATAACCGCAGAAAACAACAGCGAAATGGCATCGGTGAATCGAGCACATGCCAAGCGCAGCCCAGATGCACGATGTCGAGCCTGGCCACCGCTGCAGGCAGGACTCCAGGGGACCGGATGCAGGACCAAAGGAGCTCAGCGAATCTCAGAGCTTAACTTGACTTTCTTGCCATTTCCGGCAAAACCCAAACCATGGCAATTCCCTCATGGTGTCAGTTCCTCTTGGCTGTGACCTAGAGTCTTCCTTCTGTGGCTGCCACTCATTAGCGTTCAGCCTTTTTTCGGGTTTTAATGCTTTCCAAACTCTAAATATCTCTTTTTGTCGCACCCTTCACTAAACTAATAATTAATAATAATAATAATAATAATAATAATAATAATAATAATAATATCGTTTCTTTGAGTGTGCTGCTTCCTGCTCTTGAGTGAGTGCACCCTAGACCCCCTCACTGCACCTCCGTGAAACACCCTGGACCGTGTCAAAACTCGACCACATTTCCCTTCCAGAGGAAGCCTGAGCCGGGTTAATGTTGACTCTGCCAACCATGCATCATAAAGGGGCAGCGGAGGGCAAGATCTTTTCTTCAAACGACCCACTATTATAAGGCTATCCTCCAGATGAAATAGGAGCAATTGCACCGCCATCTTGGGTTTTGGGCAGGGTGAAAGCCTGTGTAACAATGCTGGTATTGGTCAAACTCCACCAGGGAGAAGAGAAACTCAACTGCAAAAGCAAATGATCTTCCAGCTACATGTTTTTCAAGTGTTAAGAATAAGCAGAAAGATGGGAGCAGCAATTGGGTTCCTTTGCTGTTTTAGGCTGATTTGAAATTAATTATTCAAAATTATATATCTTAATTAAGATCTTATTATTTTTTTGTTGTTGTTACACGATGAAGTCACTTTAAAAAGAGGACAGACCTGGCGTTTTTAAAACATAAAGGATTGGAAATAATGAGCCCTAACAAGACACAGGCGGGTGATAATGCAAGCGCTCCCTTGACTCATTTACCAATCAAGCTAAGGAAGATGGAATCCTATGTTTAAAAAACCATTACCCATATCACTGACTTTTGCTATCAATGGTGCAAATAAAACCCGTCGTTCCACTCGGGAGTTATCTGATAGCGCCCTTCCAACGGCAGAGCGGGCAGAGAGAGTGGGAGCGGGCAGAGAGCGTGGGAGTGGGCAGAGACGTAGCTCAGAAGCAGAAACCGCGGCGGCCTGGGCTCTTACCTTCAAAGAACTGCCGCAAGACCTCGTTCTCATCTAGCACGTCCATGCTGCTCTTTTCTCTCCAAGCGAAAGCAGCCAGACCTCAGGAAATAGGTGTTGTCCTCGGGGCTTCTCAGAGCCCATGAACACTCCGGGAAATCTCCATATTCTTTTTAGGGACGTGAAGCATCTCTTCAGCCATCAAACTAGAGCCTGTAAAGACGGCTAAGTTCTCAAGCGTGATTATAAGATGAAAGGGCTTGCGACCACATAGGGAAAAAAAAAAATCACCAAGAGGGAAGTAGTGACCAATCCATCTCTCTTAGTTCAGGAACTGTTTCTGTTTTGCCTCTGGTCTTTGTTTTAAGGACCTTTGTCCTTAGTGACACATGTAATTATATAAATGGGCAATAAATGCCCAGCCTTATCTCTTCTGTGTCCTGTACAGCCTCTATCTTCACCTTCACCGAGTAAATCCATTTAGCCACCAAAAAGATAGAGTTATTATTGTCTTTAACCTCAGAAAGGGCGCACAACAATACAATTGTTTCTATGGGTGACCAAAAAGACTGGGTTATTTCAAAAGCTTTGTGAGAATAAAAGAAATTTGTCCGATATTTTCAAATGTACGGTGGAGAATTACATTCCTCAGTACACACAGTCTACTCCTTCAAAGCTCTGTTTTTAAAGGTGCAGACCAAGTGTGGAAGCCCGTCTAGACTACACACACAGAGCGTGATTTACTTGGCTTTTCGTTTCCTGTAGCAAGTTCAGCTTCACACAAGTCAACTGAAAGTAAAAATGGAAAATGAACTCAACAGTCCTGCTCAATAGTGCAGGGTTTTGTGAGGAAACGCATGCGCACATGATCCGCCAGTCATAGGCTTCGCTTCCTCACACGGCACCAACAGGCCATGGTGCTTCTCTTTTGTTCCTTCTTCCGTGCATGTTTTAACGACAAACGAGAACCTATAAACCTGCTATCCAGGGCAGAGGCTACACACTGACAAACACTTGTGCAGGTATTTGTTCCTTCACCAGCCCACAGCTGACCACTCTCCTGTAGTTTAAAAAATTTAGCTACACACACACACACACACACACACAAACACATACACACCCCTACAGCTAACCTTTATGAGAAAAGGAGTAGCCTATATGTAGTTTTCTGACCGTTGCCTTTTCATTCTATCTATGTTATTAAGTTACCACATTGCAAAGAGTCAGTATTTATACATTTTAGTATCATGCAATAGTCCATTATGTGAACGTATATCCCCCTATAGATATACTGACATGGGATTCCCCTCTGCATTCTGTGAATACCATTGGTTAATAAAGAAACTGTCTTGGTCTGTGATAGGGAGAAAGAGTAGAGTTAGGTGGGAAAACTAAACTAAATGCTGGGAGAAGGAATATGGAGTTAGGAGAAGCCATGTAGCCTCACCGGAGACAGATGCTGGAACTTTACCCGGTAAGCCACAATCACATGGCAATACACAGCTTAACAGAAATGGGTTAAATTAATATGTAAGAGCTGGGGGATAAGAAGCTAGACCTAATAGGCCAATCAGTGATCTAATTAATACAGTTTCTGTAGGATTATTTCAGGAATCTGGGCAGCCAGGAACAAACAGTCCACTACAATATTCCTTTGATTTTTTTCTAAAACATGCTTATGTATATATTCTGGAATATGTGCAAGTATTTCTCTTGAGCATACAACTAATAGTGGAACTGCTGTTAGGTATAGTTGCTCACACAAATCTAAGTGTTTGGGAGGCAGAGGCAGGAGGATTGTCACGAGAGCAAACCAGCCTGGTATATACAATAAGTCAGTCCCAGGCTAGCCTGGACTACATAGTGAGACACTATCTCAAAAAATGAGAGTGAAATTGATTGTTTGCAAGTATACAAATTCTTAACTATTTCCATTTTCTTGCCTTTAAATCATTGTCAAGTAGTAACTGCAATGGATTTCATTATGACAATTCTGTGTAGGTGTTTTATGTTCCTGCTCCCTTCACACGAGCCCCTCACTAGTCTCAAATAGACCTTTTCCTTCTTTTAAAAATCTCGATTCCATGTAGGAGAGAAAACATAAAATATTCCTCTTTCTAAAATGACTTATTTTGTTTCAAATATTTAACTTTCAAATGAATGGCTATTCACGATGGCTATAAATAAATTGACACATTAGCAATACATGGCCGATCATATTGATTAAAATCTTCAAAACTGGATTTTGTTAGGTCTTTTCATTTTTGCCAATTGAATCTATTTAAATATGCCACTATGGTCTTGTTTCTCTGACTGAGAATAAAAATCTTTTAAATATTTATTGTCATTTATGTACTTCTTACTTCAGGGGGAAAATTAACCCTTAGTCTAATGCCCATTTTCCTGTTAGGTTGTCTGCCCTGTTGTTGTAGAACCTAGGACTCGACATGTACCTACCACTCAGCTACATCCCTGCATTAGTTACTATAAAATACCATTACCAAAGGCAGTTGAAGGAGTGTACTTGGCTTATGGTTGCAGAGGGTTAGAGTCCATCATGGCGGAGCAGATGGATGGCAATACGCAGTAGACATGGTGGAGTAGTAGGAGGCTGCTTGTTCATTCCCGGCTGCCCAGAACCAAGATAACCACACAGAAGTCTGTATTTATCGCAATACTGTCTGACCAATAACTCTAGCATATTTCTAGCAAGCCCTTACGTCTTAAATTAACCCATTCTTATTATTTTATATTTTACCACAAAGCTCGTGGCCTACCACAAGGTTCTGGCTGGTGGCTTGCGTCTTTTTCCTCTGCCAGGAACATGTCATCTCACTGAGTTAGCCTTCTTTCTCCCAGCATTCAGTTTAGTTTTCCCCACCTAGCTCTGTTCTGCTGTCATAGGCCCAAGCAGTTTCTTTATTCATTGACCAATTGTAATAAAACATATTCACAGAATACAGAGGGGAATCCCACATCGTGGTGGGAAGAGCAGGAAGCTGAGAACTGACATCTTTTAACTATAAACACTAAGTAGAGAATGAACTTGGAATTTGGGGGAGGGGGCAATATCCCTTAAAGCCCGCCTCTAGTTATATACTTCCCTCCAGCAAAACCACACTTTCTAAACCTTCCTCAAACTTAAAATCCTCCTGCCTCAGCCTCCTGTGTAACTATCGGCATGAGCCACCAGTCTCAACTCTCTATACATCCATGCTCCTGACAAATGTCTTCTATTGTGTGGAGTTGGGCTGGACAAAAGCTCTAAAGGAATTTATAACACAACCAATTTTATTTTATACTTATCTTTTATGACTTCTCTCTGCCTCAGCTTTAAATTCTTAAAGAAGAGATTCACATGTATTTTAAAATATATTTCTCCTATGTTTTGTACATCAGAAGCCCTAAAGTTCAAGATACTTAAGTTGTATGTGTGGAGGAAGATTTAAGTTCTTATGCCCGCCCCCACTTTTGTTTTTTGTTTGGTTTGGTTGGTCTCATTGCATGGACACTTGTACTAGTCTCCTACAGCACTAATTCTCAACCTTTGGGTTGCAACCCTTTTGGAATCATATATCAGCTATCCTGCATATTGGGTATTTACATTTCAATTCATGACAGTAGCAAAAATTAGTTATGAAGTAGCAAGGAAAATAATTTTACGGTTGGGGTCACCACAACATGAAGAAATGTATAAAAGAGTCACAGCATTAGGAAGGTTGAGAATCATTGATCTATAGTATGCCTGCTTATCAATATAAACACAATATATGTACACAAATATGCTAGAGCTGTGGACTGGATGATTTGTCCATTTTTGCCCTAATGCATTAATTCCCAGCCTTATTAGTAGGGTTCAAAGACTTTCTTTCTTTTTTCCCATTGGTGCCTTGACATTTTTTTTATCTTGTACTCAGTGACATATATTCATAATCAAGTCCAAGAAGAACACAACCTATCATTCAGTAACAACTGACAGGTTTTTTGTCTTCTACCCACCAGCATTTCATCTCTGCCTTGTAGCTTTATCACCTTCTCCATACAAAACTAACAAGCATTTGGATTTACAACTACATATTGATTCTTAATTTTAGTAAACTACCCAATTAAGGTCTAACAATCTGATGGTAGATTTCTTAATGGGATTTTCTAAGTATACAACCACATAATCTACAAGCTCCTTTTAGCCTATCTCCTTTTCAATAATTAGGCTGTTTTTTTAAAAATATTTATTTATTTATTATGTATACAATATTCTGTATGTGTGTATGCCTTCAGGCCAGAAGAGGGCACCAGACCCCATTACAAATGGTTGTGAGCCACCATGTGGTTGCTGGGAATTGAACTCAGGACCTTTGGAAGAGCAGGCAATGCTCTTAACCTCTGAGCCATCTCTCCAGCCCTAATTAGGCTGTTTTATTCTTATCTTTCTATGTTGTGGTAATGCTTCTATTACTATGTCAGATTTTTAAAATGAGGGAAATGATTAACCTTGTTTTGATTTTGAAGAATTTTAACTTAATTTTTATTTATAAGTGTGTGGTTGTGTGGGGATAAGCACACATGAATCCAGGTGCCCACAGAGGCCAGAAGAGGGTATGGGATCCCTTAGAACTAGAATTATAGGCAGGTGTGAGCTGCCCAATGTGAGTGCTCATATTTTGGAGAATTGTATATGTCAGTACTGTACTTACAACTATTTCCACCTCCATCTCTCCTCCCTCCAATTCTCGCATGTCCCCCATCCCCTCTCAAATTCATGGACTGTTTTCTTTATTGTTAAATCTAGACATACACATGGATTTATAAATACAACTTGTTGAGTCCATTTAATGTAGCTGTTATGTTTGGGGGCTGGCCCTGGGGAAGATGGAGTCCCCCATTCTCAGCCATCATTAGTTGCCTGTAGTTCTCCACCCCAAGGGCGGGGTCTTATGAGATTTCCTTCATGGCTGTGTTTCTCTCCAGCTGATTATTATCAAGCTGTTTCTCATGTCCTTCTCCCAACAACAGCGATCACAGGGTTTTCAGGCATCCTTTTAGTGAAAGTACTCTCTTACTGAAAGATGACTTATTTTTAACAGGTATCGATTTCATCAGTTTTCCCCCATCTATTGATCAGTTGGCTTTTGACTTTTATCCTACAGCAAAGGAGATCAATTTTCTAATATACCGCTTTTGCTGCATTCCTTAGACAGATTTCATTTGGTCAGTGTGTTAGGTTCCTGACTATAACAAACTCATACTTTTCATCCCTCAGATTTATTCTATCTGGTGTTAGTATCAAGGTGATATTAGTTTGCCTGTAGCTGGCAACTTAAGCTATTTTATGAGCAATCCATTCTTCTTGGTAAAGCTACGCAAGAAAAAATTTCTCTCCTTTAATAAGAATAGTAAGGCTTATTTCTTCTTCATCAACTTTTTCCTGGAACCTTTTCACTTTCAATTCTCGCGTGAACTGGCATGTCTGACGATACCCACTGCATCTGGTTAGTATCTTCAGAATCTGTAATGGTGACTCTTTCCATTCCCAGCGTTGGCTGTCTCTGTCTGTTTTTTCTCCATGATAAACTTGCCTAAAATTTTGCTCACGTTCTTCAGTTCACTTTGTGTTGTGGTCCACAGAGTCCTTTCCTTCACTTCCCTGAGCGTAGTTTCTGTAATGTTATTCAGTCTGTCACTTTGCTCACTCTTTTTTTTTTTTCTGGCCTTTTTTTAATTTTTTTTATTTTTTTTAATTTATTAAAGATTTCTCTCTTCCCCACCTCCGCCTCCCCTTTCCCTCCCCCTCCCCCAATCAAGTCCCCCCCCCTCGTCAGCCCAAAGAGCAATCAGGGTTCTCTGCCCTGTGGGAAGTCCAAGGACCACCCTCCTCCATCCAGGTCTCCTAAGGTGAGCATCCAGACTGCCTAGGCTCCCACAAAGCCAATACGTGCAGTAGGCTCAAAAACCCATTGCCATTGTTCTTGAGGTCTCAGTAGTCCTCATTGTCCACTATGTTCAGTGAGACCTGTTTTAACCCAGGCTTTTTCAGACCCAGGCCAGCTGGCCTTGGTGAGTTCCCGATAGAACATCCCCATTGTCTCAGTGTGTGGGTGCACCCCTCGCGGTCCTGAGTTCCTTGCTCGTGCTCGCTCTCCTTCTGCTCCTGATTTGGACCTTGAGATTTCAGTCTGGTGCTCCTATGTGGGTCTCTGTCTCTGTCTCCTTTCATCGCCTGATGAAGGTTAATATTCAGAAGGATGCCTATATATTTTTCTTTGGGTTCTCCTTCTTATTTAGCTTCTCTAAGAACCCGAATTATAGGCTCAATGTCCTTTATTTATGGCTAGAAACCAAAAATGAGTGAGTACAGCCCATGTTCCTCTTTTTGGGTCTGGCTTACCTCACTCAGGATAGTGTTTTCTATTTCCATCCATTTGCCTACAAACTTCAAGAAGTCCTTGTTTTTTACTGCTGAGTAGTACTCTAATATGTATATATTCCATACTTTCTTCATCCATTCTTCAATTGAAGGGCATCTAGGTTGTTTCCAGGTTCTGGCTATTACAAACAATGCTGCTATGAACATAGTAGAGCATATATTTTTGTTGTATGATAAGGTCTCTCTTGGGTATATTCCCAAGAGTGGTATTGCTGGGTCCAGGGGTAGGTTGATCCCGAATTTTCTGAGAAACCGCCACACTGCTTTCCAGAGTGGTTGCACAAGTTTGCATTCCCACCAGCAATGGATGAGTGTACCCCTTTCTCCACAACCTCTCCAGCAAAGGCTATCATTGGTGTTTTTGATTTTCGCCATTCTGACAGGTGTAAGATGGTATCTTAAAGTTGTCTTGATTTGCATTTCCCTGATCGCTAAGGAAGTTGAGCATGACCTTAGGTGTCTTTTGGCCATCTGAACTTCTTCTGTTGACTTTGCTCACTCTTAATAGGTGGTTCTCAACCCTCCTTGTGCTGTGACTCTTTAACAGTTCATGCTGTAGTGACCCCCAGTCATAACATTTTCATTGTTACTTCCTAACTGTAATGTTGCTACTGTTATGAATCATAATGTAAACATCTGTATTTTCCAATGGCCTTGGGTGACCCCTGTGAAAGGGTATTTCGACCCCCATGGTTTGTGACCCACCAGTTGAGAACCACTGCTCTAAAACAATTGATATATGATTTTTTTCTAAAGCCAAAAATCTGTTTCCTATATTTTGTTATTCAATACTTAGAATTTAAACATTTTTTGATATTTCCATAAAAAAAAAAATAGGGTCTCTGCTGGGTGGCGGTGGCGCACACCTTTAATCCCTGCACTTGGAAGGCAGAGATAGGCAGATCTCTATGGCCAGCCTGGTGTACAAGAGCTAGTTCCAGGACAGCCAGGATTGGAACGCTGTGGAAAGGAAAGAAAGAAAGAAAGAAAGAAAGAAAGAAAGAAAGAAAGAAAGAAAGAAAGGAAGGAAGGAAGGAAGGAAGGAAGGAAGGAAGGAAGGAAGGAAAGAAAGAAAGAAAGAAAGAAAGAAAGAAAGAAAGAAAGAAAGAAAGAAAGAAAGGAAGGAAGGAAGGAAGGAAGGAAGGAAGGAAGGAAGGAAGGAAGGAAGGAAGGAAGGAAGGAAGGAAGGAAGGAAGGGTCTCAGTAAGTCTATGCTGGCTTTGAACTTGCTGTGCAGCTAAGGATAACATTGAACTCTTTATCCTTCTGCCTCCTAATTGGGGAGGGAGGGTTCTAGGCAGGTTCATGACACTCAGCTGTACTTCATCCCCTCCCTCCACCTTGTCTTTGTAGCATTATGTAGTGGACACTTCTATCTCTAATGCTCACTTTTAATTTTTAAGGTGAATTATTAATTCAATGATGAATGCTATCAGAATATTCTCCTAAACATTTTCTTTTTCTTAGAAAAAGTGTTAAAACCAACCCTCTTGGCATAGCCAGAGGCCACATGTGGCTAGATGTCTCTGGAGATGGGGATAATCCGTCTGTCTGCAGGTCACTCCCCGGTCAGCAGAATCACAATCTGCATGGTCCTCACCCTCCTCCAGTGCCCCCATGTTTTCTCCAAGTCATGTTTAGCCTCCTCCAAGAACTGGATATTGGCCGCCTCAAGGTTCTTTCACATAGCTGCTTCCCATATACTTTTCCTCATTTGTTCCCTTTCATCTGAGAGTTCTGAGCCAAACCTGACCTTCCAGTTTAAGGAAGCCTTCACCATCCCTGCTCCTGTTTCCCCTTTTACTTATTTGGTAATTTCCATTTTTCTTACAGAGCTGCTACCAAAGACCATCAAGATTTTCCTCGAATATCAACAATTTTTACATGTCTAAGATATCAGCATTTTCTAGATTTCCCAGAGAACATTCCACAAGGAGGAGCGTCCCCTGGGTATTTCACTGTATGTAAAGTTTGTTTGCTGATCCCTGAGACGGCAGTTACTATAACACAGGGTGGTTTTCCTGTTACTTGTGAAGAGTGAACAAGGCCACTTCCGGCTGCAGGGATACGCCCACCCACACTGGTTTCACACATCGCCTGGGCAGTGCCGGTCAAGAGCTCTCCAGGGTCTTAGGACCTTGTCAAGTGAAGTACACAGGACAGGACAATGTGGTAGAAGAAAGTTCAGTTACATTTTGAAGACTAGCTGTCTGGGGGGTTGGATCACTGGACATCCAATACCAGGCAATGGGACTCTCAAAGTCCTCTTGGTCAATCCCTTAAGAGCCTCAGAAAGCAACTGTCTGGCTGGTGAGAGGACCAGTGCGGTCCAAGGTTAGTGTCTGCTTGGGCAGGAGTCAGGAAAGAAGACTCCAAAGCCCTGTTGTGCCGTTCATCATTGTAATCTGTCAGCACGGCCCTGCCTGCTGCCTGCGGATCATCTCCACCCTGGGCATGCTGCAGTGGAGGCTGGGTGCAGGAGCCCAACAGCAGGAGTAAGGGCCTTTTATCCTTGTCTATTTGGGCTATTAATCATATAGATACATGCATTTTCATGTAAATACATGTGCTATAAACACCATTTTGTTTGAACACTACCGTTTTCATTTCCCCCATTCTTCTATTTCCAGCCTACGCCCTGCACTTTGTGACTATAGATCATACACTGGAATCCAGTTTGGTTGGCTCTTTTCATATGATAAACTGCTGTTTATCACCTTAGAGCACCTTCATTTCCATGTCGCTTGTCACACTGCTTCTCTAGTCATTTTTATTATTGTTCCTCGGTGATACTGTTACCTCTAGCAAGTATCTGTCCCAACTCCATGCTTCCTGGTCTATGCCCGCTGTCTCTACTGAAGCTGGAAAGCGTCAATTCAGGATAGTCACAGACTTGCTGCTCCTATCACCCTGTGGTTTCCCTCATTTATGACATCAACGAACTTTCCCCAAGTATCTGGTTTGTTTGGATGTTTTGTGGTGCGAGGGACCAAAGCCAGGGCTTTGTGCATGGCAGGGAGGTTCTCTACCAGCAAGCCACACGCAAGGTTCCACTCTCCTTTCAAAGTTACCATCTCCTGAACTTGTTTTTCTTATTTAAGAACTGTCTCCAAAAGTGTTTTTTTTTTTTTTTTTTTTTTTTTTTTTTTTTTTTTTTTTTTTTTTTTTTTTTTTTTTTTGTGGAAAATCTTCTGAATCCCTGAACGAGCACATTCGATTTGATTCTGTGGGTGGGCTCTGTGACTGGTTCAGATTTCTCATGGGTAAGCTATCCGGCCATGAGAAAAAACATCCTTAAACACTAGGCATGAACATACAGGAAACCCCACCGTGGCCATGGGAGTGTACATACGCAAAGTGACTCATCACAACGGCATGATGGGTAAAGAACTGAAAACAACCCAATCTCTAGAAACAGACTGTTTAATTCCAATGAACACACAGTGATGAGGGGATGGAGATCTGCACCAGAGAGACGGCCCACCAGGTAAAAGTGCTGCCACCAAGCTTGATGTCCTGAGTTTGTCTGATCACTAGAAACCACACAGGAGGAGAGAACAGATCTCCAAATGATGTCATGTGACCTCCACAGGCACAGGCACTCTCCCACATAAATACATAAACTGTAAAAAACTTAATATGTGGAGGCTTACTCACAGGGAAAATTTATTCATTTTCAAAGCAGGAAGGAAAGGCTGGAGAGATGGCTCAAGACTCTATCGCGGAGAACCTTAGTTCAGTTCCCAGTGGGCACCTGGCAAGCTCACAACTGTCTGCAACTCCACTTCCAGGTCTGACTCCCTCGTCTCACCTCTCCGTGCACCAGGCACGAGTGTGATGCTAACGCACACACATACATACGCATACACGCATGCGCGTGCGCACGCGCGCGCGCGCGCACACACACACACATTCCCACACATACAGTCAATAAAGCAAGGAGGTCTTTATGTTTTGGAGCTGTGCATACAGAAGTAAGAAACATCTCAAAGCCAGGACTGGTTGTGCTCTCACTGGAGACAATGCCGTGGGATCGTCTTTCCTTTGCATCCCAACACTGTCTCCACCAGGAACCTCTCTTACTGGTAGAAATCGTTAGTAGTGTCTTCATGTCCGCTTTAGTCAAAACTTAGAGATCAGATGATGCTCAGAACTGGCAGATATCATTTTTAGAGCATGATGTTGTTTAATATTCCTTTAATTCCATGATAGTGCTCACTGCGTACGTGAACCCCTACATCAGGATGCTCAGATGCTCCTCCAGAGGAAGAGCCCCCGCTCTTCATTTTCTACTTGACATACCACGACAATAAAGGGATTCACTGGGTCACTGCGAGCTGAATAACAGTAACTTTGAACCCCAGTAAAATCTTTCTGCAAATGAGGGGGGGGGACAGGGAGGACAGGAAAAACTCAACAGGCTGGGAAAAAAAAAACTAATTAATTAATAAAAGAAAAACCTCACAGGTGGAAAACAAAAAACCTTTCTGCAAATAAACCCTTGTGTTTGAATGTCAACACACATATAGACACACAGTAAGCCCTGTGCACACAGCTCCGTCCTTGCTCCCCAGAGGAGTACAATGTGAAATACCATTGCCTTCTGCACTCTCCAAGCCAAGTCAGAGCTAAGGAAGAGACACACACTCGGTCTGGTATTTATTTGGTGGTTTGCTTTGCAGTGCTGAGGCCATCACCAGCACACTGCAACTCCTCGTAGTGTGGTCCGTTAAAGGACAAGCAAGAACAGCCCAGTCTCTTTAAAAGAAATCACAGCACTTCCTAGTGTAATCTGCAAGAGACCAGGAGTCTTGGGCCTTGTCCTCAGGAATAAATATTAGCCATAAAAATGTTCAGCCATTCTTCAGTTGTCCAGGGAGGATCACGCACGACCCCACGCAGGGTGTCAGAGTTCCTCTTTGAAATATCCCAGCTTCGCCAACGACATCTCCTTTCTCAGCTGCATCACTTCCCAAAACATCTGATCAACTGCACAGACGGAGAAGACACGTAATCAGAACGTGAGTCACTGCTCAAGCCTCAAGGACAATGCAGTTAGCCGAAATGCTTCTCACACACCTCTCCATGTTCCTGTGGACACCCCAGCTTCACCAGTCATTAAGAACAGTATTAGTTTTGTCGTGAGGGACATAATAAAAGCCAGCATTTCAGTGTCTAGCATCAAGGCTAATCCCCTCCCCTCCTTGAGTACACTAAGGCTAATTATCATAGGTTATTATTCAACCAGCGAGTCTTCCACCCTGAAGCGCTCTTCCTTGGATGGTTCCCAGAACACAGAAAATTCAGCAATGTTCTCTGAAGAGATAAAGGGAAGCTTCTGGATGGCTCAGATTAGAAATAAAAGCAAATGTTGGGGTTCAACTGCACACTTCCATTGTCCACACTTCCTTTTTAAACTTCCAGGCAAGTGGGGAAAAAAGGGCTGTGTGCTTCCAAAGCCATATAAGGTCTGTGATCGACACACACGTTCATCAGGGGGATCTGTGATTGACACACACTGTGGTCAGTGTTCATCAGGGGGATCTGGCCCCCAAAGCACATTTGGCAATGTCTGAATACCTTGTTCACTGCTGAATTTGGAGGTTCTACTACCATCTAATGAGAAGCCAGAGATTCTGTAAAATATCCATAACACACCCAATAGATACACACACAATTACCCAAGCTCAAAATGTCAATACAAGTATCCTTTATCTGAGGTGCTTGTGAGAAGAAAGGGTTCACATTTAAAAAAACAAAACCATTAACAGACACAATGAGATAACCTTGGGGAAAGAGCCCAAGGTCAGACCCAAAGTTAAAAGGCTTCCCGTGGAGCCTGCGGTGGTGGTGTAGGCCTGGAATCCCAGCAATGCAGAGGGAGAGACAGGGGAGTAGTGAGTTCGAGGCCAGCCTGATCAACAGAGGAAGTTCCCAAAGAGTTCCAGCAGAGCCAGAACAACAGTGAGACTCTCAAAACAAAACAAAGCAAAATAAACAAGAAAGGAAAAGGTTCCCTGTGGATCTTACACACAGAGCAAAGTAGTATTTTTTTGTACCTGCATTCTGATTATGAGGTCGGGGTGGCTCCAACTTGTGGCTCTGCATCCATGCTCAATGGATTACTTATTTTGAGGCTTTTGTGTTTGGGGGTTAAGGTACAAAGGCTGTAAACTCTGCCTTGGATTTAACTGGCCCAATCTTTTTTTTTTTTTTTTTTTTTTAGATATAAGGCTTAGATAATGAATAGGTTTTTATACAAGCGGTGCACACGGTATATAATGAATAGGTTTTTATACAGGGTGCACACGGTATATAATGAATAGGTTTTTATACAGGGTGCACACGGTATATAACGTGTGCCGGAGCAATGACAGAAACTAGTGGGTTGTCACATCTGCCACTCCTACTCAGGACACTTTCTTCCTATTTTCATCAAGTGAATTATTTTAAGACTTTCCCCAAATCTTTTACTTGTAACAAGGAGAAAATTTGCATCATATTATCCATCAACAGGTATTCAAAAGGTATTTTTATTAAAATTACAATAATCATTACACACAGACTAATTTTGTTTCATAGTCTTTAGCTCGAATATTAGAGATTGATCCCAGGCCTCCTTTATACATTAAAACTACATGTAATTCTAAATAAAGACGGCACAGTTCCGTATACCAGAGTCATAATGGCTGAACTAAGTCTTTGCCCATCTAATTCCCCGTAAACTTTTCACTAGGGCATGTGACTGAAAAGGATTAGTTTCTACTAGTCTTTTGCAGTACAGAAACATTTTCAACATGTATGAAAATTTACGTGGAAACATTTTCTACAATGTCAAATACAAAAAGATGGGTTTTCCTGACCTACCGCCTGCTCCTTCAGTTCTGGAACAATCACGTGCACTCAGTAAGTGCGCTGGGAAGTGGTCGTGATGCACCAGCCCTTCCGCTGGGTAGTTAAGGTAACACTGAGTTATATAGTCCACTAGCAGCTCTGGAGGCTACGCTGAAATGTTCACACAATCACAACAGCTCACGGATCTACTTCTGCTGCTTCAGAATGGGCATCTTCTGTCTGCTCAGAATCATCACACACGGAAGTAGAACACACAGGAAACTCACGGTTGGCCTCTTACCCTTTCCACCAATGAAAATAAATCTGACCACTTCTAGAGCTTGCTCATTTTCACACACACACATACACACACCCCTCCAAGTACCGGCAACCAAACCTAGGACCTCGTGCTAATAAAGCACCCTACCACGGAGCTATACCTGTTCCAATATTTTTAAATTGTTTGGTTTTCTGAGACAGGATATCATTAACTTGCTTACGCTGGCCTTGAACTCATCCTATCGTTCTCGCTTGCCTTCACTCTGCTGTCCTCGTGTCTCAGCCTCTGAGTAGCTGTCATTTCATCTCTCCAGATACCGTCCCCACTCACACTTTGCTTTGTCATGTATCCCTAGCAAGGTAAAACTGGCTCTGCTCAAAACTCGAGAGTAAAACGAGGGAACTAAAAACATTGTTAGAAGACATATTCTCTTCTAAAGTACCCAACCATTTTTGCTAGGACCATAAGGGAAATTCAGTGGACTTCCTTCTCCCATTCCTGTCCTGACCGGCTAAACTGCGATGCAGATGTTTACAGTGAACCGAGAGCACTCACCGTCCTGCTGTTTCACAAGGCCCTGCTGGATGTATCGAATGTATGTAAAAAAGTTACACACAGAAGTGATCTAGGCAGAGAGGGAGAGAGGTCATCAGTAGTCAGTTTCTAGCACAGCAAGCAGTGTTATTATTAAAGGTCAAGGTCATGCCACTTACCCTGTATCTGCAAAAAGGAGAAATATAGTAATAGTTGCTTGAGTCCCCGAGTTTAATTCTGTGCTTACAGGACTTACTCTGGCCAGTGAGAGCACATTTTCTGCAAAATAACAAATTTCAGTTTTGTTTTATAATTAAAAGCACTTGCCCTTCCCCCCTCCCCATTTTAACAAGCTGTCTCTTCATTACGACAGCGAATATCTGAGAACCTAACATGTGTCAGGCCTGTTCTGGGTGCTGGACTACCGTGACGAAAAGACAAAGTCCCTGCCCTGTGGGACTTATGTTCCAGTATAAGCTTACGACCGTAACACTGACCATGCTTCTGCAAAGAGACCCGGGGTATTGTCCATACGTCCCAGCTGACGGCAAATCTACAAATGCGCCAGCAGCTGCCGGCCAGCACTCCACTTGCAAACATAACTTCAGCTTCCTAGCTGAATCTAATCAAGATTATCAAGTCTTAAAAACCATCGCTAATGGTTTGCAGGGTGACAGCTGCCAAGCGGAGTGTGTTTGATTGGTAGGTTTTGTTGCATTTAGCAAAGAAGCATAAAGAAAGAAGCTGCCCTTCACGCACAAACCTCAACACCTGTGAGTGAGGCCCGCCCCATACCACCCTTTCTCCCTGCGGCCTAGGCTGGCCTAGGCTATACATTCCTGGAGGGTATGCATCTTTAGAGCCTGGCTCCAAGTAGCCATTGACTGACTGAAAATAGGCTCCACCAGGGAAGCATCAGGCTGGCTACAGCAGCCCCGCTGGCAACCATCAGCTGGGATCTTGGGGAGACACAACTACCAGTCTCTGGTAACACAAAATTAGCATAACTCAGGGAAACTAAGCGGCCAATTGTACCTGACATGCCACTGTAAATCACACGACAAAGAAAAACAACTATATGAACTACATTAGATTTCGGTTATACCTAAAAGAAATACAACACAGTGTTCCTCGACAGTGAAAAACCAAATGTAAAATATATTATTTGGAACAAGATGATTTTTGAGGTGGCCCTGCAAATCTTATCTTTTAATTCTTTTCAAAGAAATTTTGCCTTACTGTTTGTGCATGTGTGTGCTTGTGTACACACACACATACACACCCCTACAAATTGCTTTAATGGTCTCTGGCAATATTTTAAAGTACTAACAATTAGCTTGGGATGGATCAGAGGTCAGTAAATTTAAGGTTCAACTACTGGAAGTTCTTGTAAGTTGCAAAAAGTATAACTTATTCAGAAGGAAAAGTACCCTTGAATTAAAAAAAAAAGTTACACCTCTTCTTCTGGAAATATATTTTTTCTTTTAACATCTTGTCTCAATTTGAAAGGATTTTGCTAAAGTGGTCTCAGGTATTAATTTTTAGAGTAATAAAGTAAAAAGTCCCCTTCAAAGAGAGGCCCAAGCTCTGGCTCGCTGAGTGTCGTTCTGCTCTGTGGAGGGTCTGTGTGTGCAGTATGGATGCGCGTCTTTGCCCCAATAGAAGCTTTTCTCCACCTGCCTTTAAAAACAGCTGGCCATTTCTAAACGCTAATACAGTCAGTCAGCACACTGGGATTCTGGACTCGATGCTGACCTGCCCTTCTCTCTGAAGCTGCAGTGAACACGCCCCTGCTCCTCCACATTCTGCTTGCCTTGCCACAGGAGCACTGGAGGTAAATTCCTCCCTAAATCCAGCCTACCTAACTCGTTTACTAGAACCTTGGAAGTCCACATCGTCATCTACCATCATTCGGAGTACACTTTCATGTGTATAGTACATAAGACATACTGCAAGCACAGGCAAGTTCTATGTATTTAAAATAAGGTATGACCAGACCTCCAAAGGCTGGGCGCTGCTGCCACTACAGCTGACTTTCCATTTGAGAGGCTGCAGGGCCAAAAGGAAAATACTTTGGGGTCTATAGAATTTAATACTATAAATTCCCCTAAAGTTAGAGGCCACTGTGCTATAGGGTGTCACAGCAGGATTTAACACAGACTACAACTCTGAGGAGATGTGTGACCTGAGAATGTGTGTGCATCAACAGAAGCCGGTTACAGCTTCTCAACAGGCTCACGACAGCCCTGACGAGTCAAGGACTCTACTCTGTGGGGTCCTGGGGCTTCCAGTCTCCCACAGCAACCCGGTCCTAGAACCGAAGTTAAAGCACAATTACATTTGAGTTTTGGGGCAAAACCTTTCTCAGAGGCCTTCTCAGAGGACTGGATAGGAAAGGCTGCCCTGCTATGAAGTGCAGTGGTTCTTCCTTTGAAAATTTATAATTTCCAATACCTGTCACATGTGCAAAACAGAACTATTTGTCAATTTCGGAATCTTTTATAGAAATAATATGGAAGGTAGGAACAAATTATTTTTGTTGTTTTTTATAATTATGTTTATGTGTGTGAGTCTGTGTGTGGGTATGTTCATATAAGTGTTAAGAGTCCATGAAGGCCAGAGGTAGCAGATCTGAGTTACAGGTCTCCGTGAGCTGCATGATGTGGAGCTAGGATTGAGTTGGCGTTCTCTCAAGAGCATCAGGGAGCGCTTACCACTGAGCCATCTCTCCAGCTCCTGGTGCCGTTTTCAGTTCTCATAGGAACAGTTCTAAGTCAGTACCTTTCCAAATCAGTTTTGATGGCAATCCTCAAATTGAAGTACTTTACACACATACCAACTGTACACAGCTAACTCATTCATTCTCTCCTCTCTCACTCACTGGTTCTCTTTGGCAAAACAAAAATTTGGTCTACAGTTCGTTAGACAACTGTTTCTAATCCCTAGTCTCCCTGCATCCCCTCTTGTGCTCCATCATTAAGGGGTCTTAGTAACTCTCGGAGAAGGCCACACCCAGCTCCCGCCTTAGATCTGTAGTGGGGCCTTTCCTTGGGTACTTCTCATTCTCCACAGCCACACTGAAATCTAAGAATGCGCCCTCATTCTCTTAGTGAACCACACACCTTTCTTCACTAAACAGGACCACAACTTCGTCTGGAGGAAAATAAGAAAGTACCAGTACCCTCTGGGGATTTGTCCCGGGTCACAGGCGCTAAGAAGAAACTGAGGAGGAGAAGCGTAATCACATTTACAACACACAAATGAATGAACACAATGCCACAACGCAAAAACTTTCGAGAACTCACTCGCTCCCACAAGGCATGGATGGAAAACCTACTTTGGTCCTCCACATTCTACAGCTGAGGCTTTCACGAATCGAATGGGCTGAAGCCCCACTGGCTCAATGCTTAGAGTGTTGTTCTCCACAGCCTCCAGAACAGCCGAAGCCAACTTAAAACAAAAAGCAACAAAAAGAATTAAACACTGGCAAAAAAAATTCAAAATAAGATAATAATTTTATAAGCTAGTCTTTCAGTTTCAGAGACTTGGCCTTAGACACTACAAAGAGAAGGGACAAAAAGCTCAAATCACAATCCCGACTTTATTACTTTCATAAATCAAGCAGTTATGATAGGTAACTAAGTTACAGCGGAAGAATTTTTGGTATTAACTAGAAGAGGATTAAAGGTATTAATTACATTCCTTACCCAATATTACACATCTACTACAAAAGCCACCTCAAAATTAGTATCCTAACGCCACATCCTGATAAATTTATACAATAAATTCCAGTCACTTATATTAGCAATATGTACTAATTTTAGCTATGTATTTTTCATCTTATGTATTTATAGGCATAAAAATCTGTTTAACAAAATTGACATTTCCCCCCCCAAATCAAGTATGAAGTCTCCTCTGATAAACGGGCAGTGAGGCCAGAGTTCCTCTGGGGAGGTTAGCAGCACCAAGAGAATGGCCGACAACGCACAGCCCACGTCCGGTCAGTGCGGGGCTCATCTGCAGTTCTTACAAGGATGCTCGCTACAGCTCGATCCTCAAAAGGCTTCCCTAAGACTCTCAGGACTGAATTACTTAAACATCAGCGGACAGGCCATTTATCTGAAGACAAACTACTCACGTATAAGATCAAACTGTAGTTATGACTTCTCAGTTGAATACGACTTATATAATTCCTGATCCTCTGAAATGATTTTTATCTGCCTACTTTATCCTTCCTCTTAATTCTATGACAAAGGCCAAGTTAGCATCGTGCTTCTGTTTGTTTATAGACACACTTGGTGCTCTGGTTTAGGTTGTGTTGGCAGAGGTGGAGATCAGTTCACAGCCCTGCAGAGACCAGCCCAGCACTGAACTCACAGCTACGCCCTAGATTCTCACACGTGTTTATCGTGTGGTGATGGGCCAGTAACTGCCTGTCCCAGAGCAAGGACAGAACTCGGCTTAAACTGAAAACTGGACCTGGGTGTGTATGAAGCAAGCAGCTAGCCCTCTTTCCGTACACATCTGCCTGCCACACTAACACAGTACACATCTCAGTGCTTCTGAGCCTCGTCTCGAGAGAGGAAATATGTTCAGAACGGCAGGAATCGTGGTCCTGATATGAAATGGAGGAAATGTTAAACGTGACATTTTTACAGCAATCACATGTAAGACATTAAAATACGGAACATGAGAACAGGAGCACAGAAGATCTGAATGCATTCCTAGTAAAATGAAAAACAAATTACCTCACTTTTTGCGAACGTTAAGCATGGGAAGATATCTTCCTGGTAGATCTTGTCTAAGAAAGGACACGTTCTGTCCATCGTGGGCTCATCCTTCCAAGATCTGAACTCATTATACAGAGAGAGATCGGCCTGACAACCAGAGCAAACACAAGCCACTTAAAGAACAAATAAAAACTACTTGATAAAGCAAGCCCTAATTTAAATATCATTAAAAGGAAATGCTCTTCATTTAAAATAATAAAAATTCAACTGTCCTGTTGATATGATATATACGATAGCATTTTTCTTTATAAAATGATTAACTGAGCTTTTGGGTACGATCCGTCCCTATGGTGCTCACAGATGTTGCTGTCATCCTCTCCTCGTGGGTCTCCAATACTGCGGCTACTCTCTCTCCCCATCTGAGCCAGGGTCTCACCACATACCCCAGGTCTTGGGAATCACGATGTCAGCAGACTGGCCCTGACTAGACTCTTGCCTCGGCCCTACCACTACGCCCAGCCACAATGGGGCTCTCTGAAGACACAGACTGTCTTGAATATAAGAGGCGCTGCTGACCAGTGTTTTCTGAACCTTATCAATCTGGAGCCAATCTAATTATTTATTAGTTTATTTATAGTGAATAAATTGAGTGTGGCCTGTGAAATCTAGTGTGGGTTGAACACGGAGAGAAACTGCTCTTTACTAAAGACAGTCCTAAAATACCCGCGTACAGCAACAGGGCAAAGAGCAGCAGCAGGCACAGGGCCCTCCACTGACCACCGCATCCAACCTGGATTAGCAGAAACAAGCCACGCCTCCTCTTGGCCCTCCTCTTCCGGCTCCTTGTACTCAGCCCTCTTCTCTCCTGCGGAGGCCACTCCAGGCCACCCGCTGACACCGAGTAGCTCCTGAACATGCCCCGCCCTGGGCCTTACAGAGCTCCCTGCCGTTCTGCAAGTACTGAACACCACGTGAGCACGCTGTCGTTGGCCTGGGATAACAGCTAGAGGTGCAGCGCCCATCAAAGAAATGCAAGGCTGAGGGCACCATGCTCTCTCCTTCAGACTCTAAAGGTCAACCATGGCCGTCTCATTCTGATCCATAAATGTCTTAAGCCAAAGCTACAGGCAAGAGGGTAAAGTATATTAAGAGATAAATATTTAAGATTTTCAAATTCACTTGAGAAGTTAATTGAGAAGATGGGAATAAGCCCCGAAGCAGGAGAGTGAGTGATTATCAAATGAAAGACTCCGGCTTGAAGGCAGTAATTGGAGTCGCTTCTTCCTAGAAGCTGACTCTTTCGTAAGCACTTTCTAAACACTTAATCCTGAGTGGTGCAAGGCGGACATGAAGACCCCCGGTTTATAGATAATGCTAGGACTTGAGATAAAATGGCTTCCCCAAAGTCACACAGCCAGCTGATTTTGATGTCAACTTGAGACAGCTGAAGTCACTTAAAAGGGGGAATCCACAACTGAGAAAATGGTCCACAAGACAGAGCTGTGGGCAAGCAAGGCCAAGGGGCATTTTCCTAATTAATGAGTGATGGGGGAGGGCCCAGCCCACGGTGGGTGGTACCATCGGTTTAACAAGAAAGCAGGCTGAGCAAGGCGGGGAACAGCACTCCTCCCGCCATGACTTCGGCATCAGCATCAGCCCCTGTACAGGATCCTGGCTCCTTTAGACAATGAGACGTGACATGGAAGCGGAAGCAAAAGAAGCCCTTTCCGCCCCAGCTTGCTTTTGGTCAAGGTGTCTCATCACTGCGATAGTAACCCTGACTAAGATACACAATGAAGCCCAAATTCAGCTGGACTATTTAGAACCCAAAGCCCTGCACTGTGCACGTCTGCACACGTGTGTGTTGAAAGCTTTCAGAACACCGCTGCGACTGAGAAGCGTGGACACATTCCACCTCACCTCAGATTGCTACAAACTATCCTAGGGCAGTTCCGCACGGTGTGGTGACCCCAGCCATACAATCACTCTCACTGCTACTTCTAACTGTAACTTTGCTACTGTTAAGAATCATAATGTAAGCATCTGTGTTTTCTGATGGTCTTCGGCAACCCCAGTGAAAGGGTCGTTCAACCCCAGAGGGGTCATGACCCACAGGTTGAAAAGCATTGTCCTTCAGTAAAATTGTGTGTGTGTAAAACTTGCTGACGTTTTCACAAAGCACCAGGGTATAAAGTGTGACCACAAATCAGAAGTGGGTGCAGGTGACCTATTCATATGAATTTCAAAACTAGAGACGTTTACAAAGCGGTGAGAAGCCATCTACAAAGATTTACTGTAAGAGGCAGGAGAAAATCCCTCACACTTGCTGAGTGAGAACAACAAGAAAAGCTGTTTTAAAAGCACACTTATTTAAAGTCAAAGAAATCAGAACTAAAGTAACCACTAAAGAAGTGTGTTAGAAATTTAACAGAAACAAATACGAATTTCAGATTTTGCTACATTCAGAGCTGGACAAGCACTAAACTTTTCTAGCTACCATATTCTTATTAATAACTGAACAAAGGTAACTCAGTTACAACAGTTAACCTCAGTAATTCAATTTAGTCACTCGGCTTCTATACACAAAAGAACTGGACAAACACCAACAGCTTCTTCAGCAGGAACTAAACTCAACAATGACTACAGCTTTGAAGAAAACGAGGGATATTCCCAGAATTCTTGACCAATCCTCTTAGAGACAGATTTCACCACAGATGATAACAAAACAATGTTTAATAATTATATAACTTTAACTCTACACATTTCAAAAAATAAGGTATCAAGTTATCTTTGTTTTTTAAAATGTAAGGCTTCTATTACTTCTGGGTTCTCTTGTTTTCTTATTTAACTATTTACTTAATTATTTGCATCAACTCTAGGACTTTCTTAGTCACGCAAAACTCCGCTTCTTCTGATTTTGAATAAAAAGAGCAAACAGTAATCTTCAAGAGAATCATCTCATTTCCCACATTCTTCATTCCTACTTCAACACCGCTCTAATGGACGTGAAAGCCACCCGCTTTCTCCTGTACAACACATCCCAGTTTGCTCCCTGAATGAACATGGGAAAGGCAGAAACTTACCAGATCTGCAGCGGGACTCCGAGGCCAGCCAGCAGAGAACAGGAGGGGAGGATCCCTGAAAGCAACCAGCTCTAGATAAAGCCTCCCCCATCTTAATATTGCATATTTTGTACTAAAAAAAATATGGTGGAAAAAAATCACGACCGACACCTCCATGATGGACATTAACAGCGACCGGAGGACAACCCTCGGCGAGTTACCTCTTTGCAGTCTTTCACCAGTGGCTGTATCACACTGAGGTCCTGGTGACCGCCACTCATGGCACTGCTCGTACTTTTATTCCTCGAGTGTCCCCTTTTAAAAGGCGTCTTTCCAGCCGCCAGAGGCTCCTGCGTTGGTGACGTGGGAGAGCTGGACAGCACGAGTGTCTTCAAGGCGGCCACTTCAGCTTGAAGTACATCGATCTTGAAAAGAAATCAGCACGGTCACACAGGCAACATGCTCTATAACAGATGCGGCTCAGCGTTAGCAATCTGGTCAAAACACTTTCAAGGGCAGAGCGTTAAGTTAAATTTGTATTTTCGGTGGACTAATTAAAGGAAAATAATCCAAGGATTTTGGGTTTCCATATGGCTTGGCTTCAAATGCCAGTAATGCCAAAAGAAAATTAAACAGTCAAAAATACCTAACATTAATATGAATTTTCAAAATCATTAAGATATATTAGCTTACAGTTCACTCCTAATATAAGATTTATATAGGTGTCTTTTTTCCTAAAGAACTAAGTAAATAAGCTTAACTTTAAAATGTGCCTACTGAACCCTTTTATGTGATTTACATGGCTTTAAGTAAGGGGCTGTGATATAAACGCGCCCCGGCGTCCAGTGTCAGTGCACCTCTGTGCACCTAACTATTTTCCCACTCATGCTTTCTGCAGTCTCTAATGTAGAATAAGCACTGTTTCTCCAGTCAGAACAGCCGCCGCCGGCTGCCGAGGTGCCCTGGCAATGGTGACGACTGGCTTCCCACCGGCTCCCCCAGTCCAGAACTAAGCAGTGGGACTCACTTTCCCTTGAGCCTCCTTCAGCTGCTTCTCCGCCGTGGCCTGCTTGACGTTCGCTTCTCTCACCATCTTGTGAGCTTCCTGAAAAAGGCAACACTCAAAGGTTGGAGACCAAGTGTTTCAGCATTCATTCTCAAAGCACATTTTAGCCACCACCTATGACGGGAGCACAGCCATCGTGCCGAGGTCTACCCTGGATCTAAGTGTTCCATGTCCTCTATGAGAAAAGAGAGGACGTGAAAAGGAGGACCAGGCCCTCTCCACTTAGCACCTACTGGCCACGGTGGCAGCCAAGGTGGGTCTGACCACCCCAACAAACTCCCGCATCAGGACTGCGACCACTAAACAGAGAATGACTGCAGGCAAAGCCAGCCAAGAGCGTGTGACCAGGGTCTGTAACTCTCAGTCACGACACATGTGCATATCGCTAGCCGCAGAGAAGTATACAAACAGGACAAATACAAACTGTCAACACCTCAACAGGAGTGACAACTAAGGAATTTCAGATTCCAATAAAACACAAATAAAGTGATACAGGTGGAAACTGGACTGCAGAGCAAGGCCTGGAGAGGGGACTCTGCCTTCTCTTCAGTGGCCTTCACTTTCTAAAGCGACAGACACGAAACTGCAAGAATCTGCGGGTATCGACCTGCCTATCAGTCATAAATATTTATTCCTGACTTCTCTTTATGAGGCGCTGCTCTGGGCTGTGATGAACGAGAAGAGACAAAGGCCCCGCTCCCAAAGAGCATGTGCTCAGGGGACATTGAGGGGACAAAATCGGGGTAAGAATCCCGGACTTTACTCCAAGTAAAAGATGAAGTCTTGTTTTAAGGAAGAGAATAACATGATCCCATATTTTAAGGATTATGCTTTTGCAAAATAATCTGTATAAGAGATTAAAATGGATCCAAACAACATGGGATTTCGGAGTTCGTATTTCAGAACTTTAATATATGCAAAGGAGATTGAGATATTTAATAAACACACAGTGCAATGACTATAGCATGCCTGTGAGCTGCCAAGGGGCAGGGAGGCGATCTCCCTCACAGTTGCTCATTTGATCTTGTGGTATGGCACCGGTGGACAGCAGCTTGTCTCGTGAACATGAACCTCAGATGACATTGAGTAATCGAATGTTCACTAGCCATGATTTATAATGAAATGGAATGAACACAGAGATACTGCATGCACCATCCCGCTGCTTATCTGGCAAAGTCTGTAAGAACTGTCGGATGTGGTGAGCTCGGCATTCTCCTTTGGAAAACAACAGTTGTTGCGGATTTGCTAAAATTTTCTGGGGTAAGAAAAAGAAGACTACCTGGCAGACATTTCTGAAATAATAACCTATATACTCTGATCTCCCAGAAGATAAGAGGCATTGAACTCTAAATGCAGAAGACAGAAATTCCAGAGCACCTGCCGACCTGGCTGCCGATGGACTCTTAGTGGACCCTACATGATCTGAATCCAGCTTCTCAGAGGACTGGGAGAGCTGACACTTCTAAAATCATCTCTGAAAGCTTCAGAGTAACAACTAGAACTAAGGCCACGAGAAAACACCAAGTGAGATATGGGGTGGCCTTTCCAGTCGCAAAAGGGATGCCATGAAAGATACAGAGGTGTGACTGATGTCCCCAAAGAAGGGTGCCAGCCTGCGGCAAAACCATCTGCGAAGATGACGCGTAAGGCACGAGTCTGCCAACCACCAAAATGTCAGAATGCAGATTTCCAAGTGTTTGGGTTACTTCCTTTTACTGTCTCTCTGGAGCGGAGATGACATGAGCACTATGGACACCACAGCTCCCAAACTTTCTCTACCTGAGATGTCAGGTTGGACATTTTATAAGGCTGAGAACACCAGTTCTAGGGCAAAATGGCACAAGTCTGTTTAGGACCATTTCAGAACTGTTAAAAATTATTTTTTAAATAACTTTTATCAGAAATGTATTCACTGAGAATCTGATGTGTGCAATGTGTTCTGGCTACTTTAACCCCACCATCCTCCCCCTCCTACCCACCCGTCTTCCCTTTCTCACGTCGTGTCTTGCACTCTGACTTCTGACACCCCACGTCATCGACATGATATGACCACGTTTTGAACTATCCAGGGGGTCCTGGTGTCTATAAGCATTACACAAGTGACAACGACCGCATCGTCCTCAGAACCAATCGAGGACAACAACTCATCAGGGTGAGGTACGGTCCAGTGAGTCCCCCCAGTCTATGACAGGCCTAGGCTGTGCAGGTGCAGTGCAGGCTGGGCAGGGCTGTGGACAGTGTTTGCACAGACCTTCTCCAGATCTTCTGGTTCTTATGGTTTTTACCAACTCCTCTTTTTTTTGGGGGGGGGGGGTATTTCTTTTTGCTTATTTACTTTTTGTTTTGTTTTTACATCCCAATCAAAAGTTTCCTTCCCTCCTTTTTGTAGCTCACCCCCCCCCCAACTCCACTCCTCCTCCTCCTCTGTTTCTCTTCAGATATAAGCAGGCCTCCCATGGATACCAGCCAACCACAGTATACCAAGTTGCAGCAAGACTGGGCATCTCCTTTTCTATTAAGGCTGGACAAGGCAATCCCATAATCCCGTAAGAGGAAAGTGTCCTAAAAGCAGGCCACGGTAATTGACATCCCCTGCTGTTAGGAGTCCCACAACTGTAACATAGATGCAGAGGGCCTGGTTGAGTCCCATGAAAGTTCCCATGGGTCAGTTCAGTCTCTGTGAGCCCCTATGAACCCAGGTTAGTTGGTTCTGTGGGTTTTCTTGTGATGTCCTTGAACCCACGGGGTCCTACGATTCTTCTTCCCCTCTTATGCAGGATTCCCGTAGCTTCGCCCAAGGCTTGGCTGCAGATCTCTGCATCACCAGCTCAAGGCTTGGCTGCGGGTCTCTGCATCACCGACTCAAGGCTTGGCTGCGGGTCTCTGCATCATCGACTCATTGTTTTTAATGTTTTCTTTCTTTTAAATAAAACTCAAGACAATGCTTCAAATAGCAATTTCTTTTTTACATTATTAATTTTGTGCATGCCATGGCATGCATGTAGAAATCAAAGAACAACTTGCCTCAAATGCTAAGATTTTCCTTTAATTTTTAATAACGTGTGTGTGTGTGTGTGTGTGTGTGTGTGTGTGTGTGTGTCAGAGGACAACCTTCAGGAGTGGCACTCTCCTTCCACCATAGGATCCACCACCAGAGCTTAAACTCTGGTCCACAGCTCACACAGCAAGCACGTTTATCCACAGAGCCACATCAGTCTTATTTCCCTATTTTAAAAGGCTTAATATTGCCAGGCAGTGGTGGCGCACGCCTTTAATCCCAGCACATGGGAGGCAGAGGCAGACAGATCTCTGTGAGTTCAATGCCAGCCTGGTCTACAGAGCTAGTTCCAGGTCAGGCCCCAAGGCTACAGAGAAACCCTGTCTCGAAAAACAAACAACAACAAAAACGGCTTAATATTATCTAAGCACAAACTACTCTTCAGCTTTATTCATTCACTGATGAATATATGTTTACATCTAGCTGGTGATAATACTACAGCAATGAACATGGGAACACAGATAGCAAGAATTAATCTTATTTCCTTTGATGTATACCGGAAAGTGAGTTTGCTTGCCTCTAGTTTCAATTGGGGGGAGGCTGGGTTTTTTTGGTAGTTTTGTGGTTGTTTTAAGACAAGGTCTCACTATATAGCCCTGGCTGTGCTGGGACTCACTGTGTAGACCAGGCTAACCTCAAACTCAGAGCTCTGTCTCTGCCTCCTGAGTGCATCACCACCACCCAGCTCTATTTTTAATCTTTATAATAACCAACAGCACCACACCCTTGCCCACGTGCTGTCATATGCTAACAGGCGTGTGGCAACATCTCCCTGGGGTTTACCTGACTGGTAATGTCAACCGTCTTTTCATACGCCTTCCGCTGTTCGCACATCTCATTAGAGAAAGTCCATTCGGTGCTGACCCTGCTCTTTACTGTACTGCTCTTTCGACATTCCTTATATACGCTGCAATCGCCCCTTGACAGGCACACTTTGCCAGTTTTCCACCCAAGGCACTGCATTTTAATTTTGGTGACTGCTGTGTGCAGGTTTAGTTTCATGCAATTCTACCATTTTTTTTCTGTTTTCTGAGCTTTTGGTTTCATGGTAAAAAAAAAAAAATAATAAAATAAATAAATAAACCACCTTCCCAGACCAATGTCAAGAAGCTTTCCCCAAGTTTCTGCTAGTGTGGTTTCAGGTCTTTTAGTTCACTCTATGGAGTCTGCTCACAGTGTGAGGGTTCAACTCACTCATCTACATGCGGATGTGGACATTCAATTCCCAGTGTCGTTTACTGAGGAAACCAGTCTTTCTTCAGCCGGTGTTTATTAGCCCCTCATTAAGAATCAGTTGACTGTAAGTGCAAAGATTTATTTTTGGGCTCTACTCAATTCTGTTGGTCTCTGTATCCTTCCTCTCGTCGGTGATGTTGCAGTTCCTCCCGGTGTTTACGATGTGGCTTTGCTTACTACTTGGTCCTTACTGAGTAGAATAACATTCCTCGAATACCTGCTTTATTGAAGATTCCATTATAAATTAAGGCTGACTTTTGTAAAACGCGTCTTCTCCATCTGCTGAGATGATCACGTGGTTTCCATCTCCTGTTCATGCAGTGTGGCACACAACTGATTTGCTGATGTCGGACATCTTTGCACCCCAAGAATAAATCCTATCTGGCCATGGTTATGGTTGTTCTCATGTGTTGTTAAATTCAGCTTGCTACCATTTTATTGAAGATTTTGCACCTTTGTGTTTCAAGACTACTGGCTTATAGGTTTTTTTCTCATGATGTCTTCCCTGGCTTTGATATTACAGTAATACTGACTTTATAAAATTCTTTTAGAAGTGTGAGCCCTTTTATTTACATTGTTTTGCTTTGTTTGGGGTAAATATTTATTATTTTGTTTTACTGTTTAGTAAAATTCACCTGTGAAGCCATCTAGCACCAGACCCTTCTACTGGTTAAGTTGGTTTTGGCTTTGTGTGTTTATTCCTGACTCATTTGTCATTGGTCTCTTGTGACTTTCTATGTCACCTTGATTCCATTTTGATAAACTGTTTCTAAGAATTTCTCCATTTCTTCTAGAGTATTATTAGCCTGGAATCACAGAACTCTATGATTCATAAAGGACTATGTGAATCATATAGGACTGTTATGATTTCATGCAGGACTCTGACTTCATACAGGACTCTATGAATCATACAGGGCTTTACAACTCATACAGGAGTCTTATGAACACATACAGGACTCTATGACTCATAGAGAACTCTGACTCATATAGGACTCTACGACCTCATACATGACTCTATGACCTCACACAGGACTCTATGACTTCACACAGGGCTCTATGACCTCATATAGGACTCTATGACCTCACACAGGGCTCTATGACCTCATAGAGGACTCTATGACCTCACACAGGGCTCTATGACTTCATACAGGGCTCTATGACCTCATATAGGACTCTATGACCTCATACAGGACTATAACTTCATACAGGGCTTTATGACCTCATACAGGACTCTATGACCTCATATAGGACTTTATGATATCATAGAGAACTCTATGACATCATACAGGACTCTATGACTCATACAGGATTCTTATGAACTCATAAAGGGCTCTGACGACCTCACACAGGACTCTATGACATCATATAGGACTTTATGACTCATAGAAGACTCTGACTCATACAGGATTCTTATGATTTCATACAGACTCTATGACTTCATAAAGGACTCTTATGACACCATACAGGACTCTATGACTTCACACAGGACTCTTATGACTTCATACTGGATTTTATGAACACAGACAGGACTTTATGACCTCATACAGGGCTCTATGACTTCATACAGGACTCTAACTTCATACAGGACATACAGGACTTTTAAGACATTAAAAAATCTTCAATATATCTTCCATCTCTTTTTAAAACTTTTTTTCATCGGTCTAATAAAAGTCTTGATTATTTCTTTAAAAAATAAAAAACAAACTTAATTTTGTTGATATTTTCCTTTATACCTACTATACCCCATCAATTCCTTCCTCTTGCTAACTTGGAGCTTAGTTCTCTTTCAAATTCCTTGAGGTCTCATCTTAAGCTGAGCATCTTCTTGTATTTTTCTGTAGGCATTTACTGCTCTGCAGTTTTCTTAGTACTGCTTTTGTTGCCTCTCATAAGCTTTTACTATGCTGTACTTTCAATGTCTGTCTCAAGAGGTTTTCAAATTCCTTTTTAAATTCCCTCTTTAACCCCAAAGTTCAATATGTCTTAAGTTTCCACATGCTTGCATTCTTTGCTGTTTTATTATTGATTTCTAACTAAATGTCACTGTGGCTGCAAAAGATTCTGAGACTCTTGTCTTTTTAAAGTTATAGTTGATTTTGTAATGTAACGTGAATTATCCTAGACAACAGCTCATGTACACATGAGAAGAATGTGGATTATTTTGTTATGTGGAAGGTTCTGTGTATGTCTGTAGATACCTCTGGTCTACTGACATCCATCCTAATGCTTCTTTATTTGATTTTCTGTCCGAACAATATATCCATTAAATGCAAGAGGTATTAGCATCTCCTACAATTACTGTATTGCTGTTTCTCCCTTCAGCTCTGGTAGTATTTGCTTTGTAAATCTAGGTGCTTTGTTGTTGGGTACATATTTAATTGGATCATCTAATCAAACTGATCCTTTGTTATTATGTAATGATCCTGTCTCTTATTGACAGTTTTGATAGAAAGTCTATTATGTGCAATTCAAACACAGCAATTCCTATTCTCCTTACAAGAGCACAAACATCTTTCCCTACCTATTCACCTTCAGGCTGTGAGTATCTCCATGTATATTTTGATTGGAGAACTTGGTTTGTTTACATTTAGTGTAATTATTGTAAAGTACAGACTCACTCTCCCCATGTTGCCCATTTGTGTTCTCTCTATTCTATGGTTTCCTTGTTCCTCTTTTGTCTTGTTCACTTTCATTGTGGTTTGGTGGTGTGCATGTGCATGCATGTGTGTGTGTGTATATGTGTGTGTTGGTTTACTTTGATTCTTTTCTCTCTTTTGTGTACTAAGGTACTTTCTTATTTTGGTTATCAGAATCCAAACCAAACAATTCCCCATTATAACTGTTTTCAGCTGATTAACTTCAACTACATGAAGATACTTAAGATCTGCTCCCCAGTCCACTATGTACTTTATAGCTGATGTCAGATCTCACTTCTTTATTGTGTTTCCGTTAACAAATTTTTGTGGTTATAGCTACTTTCAATACTTGATTTTTAACTTACACATTAGTATTGAATCTTCCACATAGTTATATGTATGAGAGTTTTAAACTTTTTTCTCCATTTAAAAACATAAAATCTATTCTTAGGTCACAGGAGACAAAAATAAGCAGACTGTACTCTCCTCACTTGTGACCTTTGCTCTTACACGTGTGAACATAGTCACAAACTTGGAAAAGAGAATTACTTTTCTTTCCTAGTTAGTATTTGGGGGACAAACCAACTTCATGTTTCATTTTGTAATGGGAATGACAGGACACCCAAATTATGTATTATCAAGCATTTCTGTGATGGTGTTTTAAATGAGATTAACAAATTGATATACTTTATAAGGCAGAAGCACAATGGGCCTCACCCCACCAGAGGAAGGCCTTAGCAGAACAAAAAGCCTACCGCCCCACCGAGTAAATCTGTTCTCCCTTCAGACTCTGAAACATGGCTCTTCCAGTTTCAGGCCTTCACACTCAGACCAGCTTGCCAGCTCACCTCACAGCCCTGGCACGTGGTGGCCTCCACAGGCAGGCGCCAGTTCTTTACCGTCTCTCTCTGCCTGTCTCACACCCCCCCACCCCACTGCATCTGTGTCTCTGCGCCAACGCACTGCTATCCAGAACCAAAGCTGGGTAGAAAGCTTGGTCCCGAGGGCAAGCAGGAGATAAGAAGTGTACCAACTAATATCCCTCAAATCACCCTACAGCAATGACTACACCTCAGGGGTTTGCAATCATAAAAGAAAATTAAAAATTAAGAAAAAAAATCACAGTAGTCCCTAAATAACTGGTAAAATTTAAAACTAGACTTACTAACCTTTCCTTTCACACACACGTTTACACCACCAGATACTGATAGCCTATGGAATTCTAATTTCTTCTTACACTATTTTAAATTAGAGACTATATTTTATTATTATAATTACAGATTATATTTTCTTGCTTACAGGAATTATGAATACTCATGAAGCTAGCCATAGCCGTCTCAAGATTCCTTCACAAAACCAATTCTATCAACATTTAAAATTGAGATGTTGCTCTTGGCCACAACATAAACAGACCAACCTCAAATAAACTAGCTGTGAGTTCTTCCAACTCCTGCCCAAGTTGATCTCGCACTTTCGAAAGTCTCTCACATTCTTCATCTTTTAACTTCAATTCCTATGAGAAATTGATAATTTTGTTTTAGATCTCTTCAGTCTGAAATGAGATTATATCGACTATATAATAGTTATTAATAGAATTATAAAATATTAACACCATCTCCTAGTACCTGCTAGATGGAAGACAAACAAACAACCACAATTACAACAAATCAACACGTTACATTAGATTTCTCCCAGAAAACGTCCAGAGACTAAATATGAATATAACACATAAAAAAACACTATTTCCCCTTTAGCTTTTCTCTGAACATATTTATTTCTCCCAAGCATGAACTTCTTTCAATTTTGCTTTCTAATGTCAATAAAATTAATGATTTTTTAAATGTTTACTTAAAGGGGATAGATGGTTCAGTCAGTAAAGTCCCCACCACAAAAGCGTAGAAGACCCGAGTTTGGATCCAGAACCCATGTGAAAAAGCAGGCACAGCAGGGAGACAAATCCCTGAGCTCACGGGCACAGCAGTGCACACCTGCAACCCCAGCACAGAGGAGACAGAGACGGACAGATCCTAGAGCTCACGGGCACAGCAGTGCACACCTGCAACCCCAGCACAGAGGAGACAGAGACGGACAGATCCTAGAGCTCACGGGCACAGCAGTGCACACCTGCAACCCCAGCACAGAGGAGACAGAGACGGACAGATCCTAGAGCTCACGGGCACAGCAGTGCACACCTGCAACCCCAGCACAGAGGAGACAGAGACGGACAGATCCTAGAGCTCACGGGCACAGCAGTGCACACCTGCAACCCCAGCACAGAGGAGACAGAGACGGACAGATCCTAGAGCTCACGGGCACAGCAGTGCACACCTGCAACCCCAGCACAGAGGAGACAGAGACGGACAGATCCTAGAGCTCACGGGCACAGCAGTGCACACCTGCAACCCCAGCACAGAGGAGACAGAGACGGACAGATCCTAGAGCTCACGGGCACAGCAGTGCACACCTGCAACCCCAGCACAGAGGAGACAGAGACGGACAGATCCTAGAGCTCACGGGCACAGCAGTGCACACCTGCAACCCCAGCACAGAGGAGACAGAGACGGACAGATCCTAGAGCTCACGGGCACAGCAGTGCACACCTGCAACCCCAGCACAGAGGAGACAGAGACGGACAGATCCTAGAGCTCACGGGCACAGCAGTGCACACCTGCAACCCCAGCACAGAGGAGACAGAGACAGACAGATCCTAGAGCTCACGGGCACAGCAGTGCACACCTGCAACCCCAGCACAGAGGAGACAGAGACGGACAGATCCCAGAGCTCACGGGCACAGCGGTGCACACCTGCAACCCCAGCACGGAGGAGACAGAGACAGAAAGATCCCTAGCTCACTGGCTAGCCAGCCTGCAAACAGGTGAGCTCCACACTCCGTGAGAGACCCTGTCCCAGCAATATGAGAAAGCAACAAAAGACAACAACCTTATCAGTCTCTGACTTCCACACACATGCATGTACATCCACATGCGTGACAAACACACACCACACACAAGATTGTATTCAAACATCAAAATACTTGATTTTATATGTTGAAATCACTTGAAACTAACCTTTCAAACAAAGATTTTAAAAAATCTAAAGCTCTAGCTGGGCAGTGGTGGCACAAACCTTCAACTCTAGTACTTGGGAAGCAGAGGTAGGTGGATCTCTGTGAGTTCAAGGCCAGTCTGATCTACAGAGTGAGTTCCAGGACAGGCCCCAGAGCTACACAGAGAAACCCTGTCTAAGAAGCTCTGTCCACGTCATTCAGTTCCTCAGACAATGTAATAACTAGTCAGGTCACAGAAGGCAGCTTAAGATTTTAATCTCCCAAAGACAACTCTTGAAAACCAAATATCCTAAGCTTGAGAACCTGATGATAAATCCTCAACAAAACCTGGCAGAAGAAATCCCTTGCAAATCTCAGGCTATAGAGAACATGTCCTCGCTGTGCGGGCATGAAGCAAGAGATGCAGCCCCACAATCATTACACACACCTCAAAGTGTAAGGACTCGCACGGTGGAGAAAAGGGGAAGAACACAGCTGAGAAGATGGGAAAAGCAGAAAGGTTTCCCAGGCCTCACTTGCAGGTGAACGCGACCAGCCATATGCTCCATCCCGGAGGTGGCGGGCTGCTAGGAAACGTGACACACGGTAGAGTGGTGAGCAGGGAGCCTCTCCCAGCACAGCACAGCCTCACACTGAGGGAAAACCTGCTGCCAGAAAACCACCAAAACACAGCAGATGGGTTGAGACAGGCTGTGATGCGAAACTCTGACCTGACAGTGGAATGCTGAGGCGCTAAGACCCCCAGAAACGCTGCCCTAGAGAAAACCTGGCTGAACAAGGAGAGCTCCGAAAGATGCAAGCCATGAAAAAGACACACCAATCACAAGGAAGGCCACAGGCTACCCTGCTCCTGCACCCAAACTTCCTAATGTTCCTTTAGAAACTCAAGATACATGCACATGAGAAATAGAAATGGATAAAGTTACAGTTAAACAGAAACAAGATGCTCTGGTATGCAGGGTGACTGCAAACAATAACGTGTTGAATATTCCAAAACCTATAATAAAGGATTCCAAAAACTTTGTCAATAGAAAACTTGGAAGAGCTAAATATGTTTAACATGATTTAAACACGACACAACATACATATTAGTTACATGATAGTAACATATTAATACATATGATTTTATGTTTCTGTCTGTTTAAAAACATTTCTAAAAGTCAAGTTTCCTATAAGAGAGAAAAAAATCGGATATGAAACTTCAACAGGGGTATTTTATGCTACAAAACAATGAAGTATTATTTAAAAAACAAAACAACTCTAGACTATAAGTTGAATGTTTTTCATCCAGCCAATCTTCCATAAGGCCACAAAGTAACACACCTGTAAGATCTCAGAAAACATCTGCCCTATGAACTTCCTTGAGTGATGGAGTAGATTAAGTATCAGTAACTCTCACAAAACAAAACCTGCTGAAGCTTTATTAAGAGTGAAAAGGAAACTATAGAACCATGACTTGAAAAATAAAGCTAACAAAATAATAACTGAGATGACTCAATGGAAGAGTGCTTGCCTAACAGGACGAGGCCCTGGGTTCAGTCCATGGGGGTGAGGACACAGACACGGACACACAAACACACGCATGCGCGCACACACACGAGGAGGGGAAGGGAGAGAAGGAGAGAAAGAGAAGAATGGTGAGCCACAGACAGGATTCACATTTGCAAAGGACATACGTGATAAAGAACTATTATCCAAAACATGACAAGAATTATTAACAACATTAACAGAAGAAAAACTTTAAATGAACAAAATACCAGACCAAGACATTTCACCAAAGAAGACACACAGGTGATAAATAAGTTTCTGAAAGACACTCAATGGTCTCAGTGTTCTCTTTTATCCAGCAACTGCAGGTAAAACAAAACGCCACCAGACACCGTCAGAACGGCCAAAACCCAACCACAGAAGACACTGCACGCTCATGAGGACATGGAGCACAAAAAAGTCCCATCCCCTGCTGCTGGGAGAATAAGGCGTGTGCTCACTTTGGAAAATGATTTGATAGTTACTTACAAAAGCAGACACAGTCTTAACAAATCATCCAGTATCCTGGCACAGATCCGAAGAAGCTGAAGACTTAGGCCTACATAAAAACATGCATGCAAATGTTTTTAGGGCTTCATCTGTAACTCCTCAGACCTGGGAGCAGTCAAGGTCCTTTACTAGGAATCCTTCTTAGCAGCAACTTCGGTCAGTCCAACACAACAGGTGAGCACTCGGTGCTAAAGTGAGCAGTGCACCCATGAAGAGATACTCAAGACCCTTAAATGCATACTGTTAAGTGAAAAGCCAATCTGAAGCAGCTACTGACTGTGTCTTCAGCCACGTTACCTCCTGGACCAAAAGCAGGTCGGCAGACACGGGACCCTAACAGGTTATTTTTCTCAATTTAATCTGGTTTATTTTTTGATACAGGGCCTCACTCATAGAGATCCCACTGCCTCTGCTTCGAGTGCTGGGATTAAAGGCATGTGCCTAATAAGGACATACTAAAGCCTTTATTCTACCCACACTGATCTTCAGCAACAACCTGGGGAAGACAGTTGATAACTAGATAACTAGAGAGTTACACCGTGATCTCTGGCACACCACACCTCTCAGTCTCATGGGCGGCTCCCCTATTCAAACACTATGGATCTGTTGCTGGAAAGTGATTTTCAGTCCTACAAGATTACAAAGTCTATCCAGGCGGTGGTGGCACACGCTTTTAATCCCAGCACTCGGCAGGCAGAGGCAGACAGTTCTCTGTGAGTTCAAGACCAGCCTGGTCTACAGAGCTAGTTCCAAGACAGGCTCCAAAGCTACAGAGAAACCCTGTCTCGAAAAACACAAAGCCCACCACAGAACAAAGATCCCTAACTACTTCACAGGAGAGCAACCTCTCTTCAGAGTATTTCACAAATAAAAGGTTAAGTTTCTAATATATTATACTGCTTATAAGTTACTAACCCATCTAGTATATTATGCATATGTACGTAAGTGTACAATATGCCTGCATACCCATATACATATCCATGATATCAACAAAATACAGCAAGATTACATCACACACTTCATGAACAAAATGCTTAATCTTCCTTGGGAAGCTCAGAAAACTGCAGTGTGCACATGTGTGGATGTGTAGATTCAGGAAGCGGTTACCTGGATAAAGTGGGCAGATAAGCAATATAAGGGAACACAATTAAAGCAAAGAGCCAGAACCTGGAAACAACCTAGATGCCCTTCAATTGAAGAATGGATGAAGAAAGTATGGAATATATATACATATTAGAGTACTACTCAGCAATAAAAAACAAGGACTTCTTGAAGTTTGCAGGCAAATGGGTGGAAATAGAAAACACTATCCTGAGTGAGGTAAGCCAGACCCAAAAAGAGGAACATGGGATGTACTCACTCATATTTGGTTTCTAGCCATAAATAAAGGACATTGAGCCTATAATTCAGGTTCTTAGAGAAGCTAAATAAGAAGGAGAACCCAAAGAAAAACATATAGGCTTCCTCCTGAATATTAACCTTCATCAGGCGATGAAAGGAGACAAGAGACAGAGACCCACATTGGAGGGAACGCAACTTCCCATTCTAATCAAGACAGAGTAATGGTCCAATTTACCACCCACACGACACAACTGAAAAACCAGGAGAACAATTCTCAAGCCACTGGGCACGTGCCAACAAAAGATTGTTTCCCAGAAGAGGGAAACAAAGTGAGCCCTGGGTCATGTGAGCAGATGAGACGAGAGGATGGTCAAGCCCTAAGTTCAGGAAGTTAGAAGTAAGGGTCAACATGTTACACAACAAAAGCAAACTATTTAAAGGTTTAGACTTTGGGCATGAAAACCACGAAGTCTGAGACAGGTCAGATACTGCAGAAGGAAAGACCAGCACTGGCAACTGTGAGAAACGATCCACAATGACACGCAGAGGGAAACGACTAGAAGAACAGAACCCCACACTCTAACACACAGAGAAGAGCATCACACTCTAAGGGTGTGTGCACAGCCCAGAAGAAAACTGTACTGCACGGGGAAAGCATGGAACTGCTTACAGAAGACTCTCCCAGCGGCAAACAGCACAGACGGCACAGACAGAGCAGCTCCTGTGGGAACCAAGGTGTGCGGGAGACAGCAAAGCAAAATCTTTTCAACTAAGAGAAAGAATATGTACATCGACCTCCAAGTCTGCGGCCAGTGAACTGCAAAAACTAAAGTAGCATATGCAAACAGGAAACATGTTAAAGGTGACCTTCAAGCAGAAAGAAAACGACAGCTGGAAATCTAGATACACTTGAAACCAAAGAGCAACACTGGAAACAGAAGCTATGTGTAGAAAACTGAAAATTATTACTCATTATTTATCTCCTTAAAATAATCAAATGTTCAGTGCAAAAATCAAAGTGCATGATGAGATTTAAAATATATGACGTATATGATAACCACTGCACAGAGCTGGAAGAAAAGAGAAACACTTCTAAGGTTCTTACACTGCGCATAGGCAGTATGCAGCTGGGAAGCAGACAGTAACAGGTGAAAGGAGTGTACTCTAAGTCATAAACTACATTAACACAACAAAAATTAGCCAGGAAGTCAAAAAAAGTAAGAGTGAAATTATAAAAATAATGAATACAAAAGGATGAATAAGAAAAATCAAATAGAACGACAGAATACAAATGGTAAGACAAGAGATTTAGCCAAATTTTATCAATATTGCATTAAATATAAATGGCCTAAATACACCAATCAATGGGCACATATTAGTAAAAAAGGATAAAAAGCAAGACTTGCTCTAAACAGAAAGGTCCAAATAAAAGGATGAAAACAAGGCAGGTATGAATATGCAATGGCCCATGATGTAATTTTGATTCACAAGTTATCAGAATTCAGAAAATATTTTCATATTCAAATCCTCAAGACTTGAGTCCTACGTTGTATTAAAACTACATTACCCTCATCCTAATACAATTCAGTATATATGTCACACAGTTATGCTTTGCTGGGAACGCCATGGTGGACAGATGGTGGAATATATGTCATGGCATTAAAGAAATAAATCTGACAGATTTTCTCAGTTTTTAAAATACAAATTGGTATTTGACCACAGCTGTCAAATTTATATACGTAGAATTTTTCTGATCATCCCTAAATTGTACTTTTGCTGTCTGTAGAATCAGGAGTAATACTCATTTTACTCTTAATACTGGTAATTTGTTTTTGTTTTTGTTTTTTTTTGCCAAAGGTTTGTCAATTGGGGGAGGTTGTTTGCTTGTTCTTTCAAGACGGTTTCTCTGTAGCTTTGGAGCCTGTCCTGGAACTAGCTCTGTAGACTAGGCTGGCCTCGAACTCACAGAGATCCACCTGCCTCTGCCTCCCAAGTGCTGGGATTAAAGGCGTGCGCCACCACTGCTCGGCGGCGAGGTTTGTCAATTTTATTGATGTTTTAAAGAATCCAGTTATTTTGTTTTCTATTTCTCTTGTTAATTTCACTGAATTCCACTCTCACTCTTTATCTTTCCCATTTTTCTACTCACTGTGTTTTAACTTTCCTTTGGTTTTTAGGCTGATAAAGTAAGATTGTTCATTTATGACTTTTCCTGGGCTACAGAGATAGCTAAACAGTTAAGAATGTTTACTGCGCAGTCATAAAGACCAGAGTTCAGATCCCTGCACCCACGAGACAAGTCTAGCATCCTGACATAAACCTATAACCGCAGCTCTAGGGGTGAAGAGGAGACAGAAGGATCACTGATGCTCGCCATCTTCTAGCCTAATGGAGAAAACGGTTCAAAGAAAGACCTTGTCTCAAAGGTAAAGGCAGAGAGCAATAGGAAAAACATCCCCTGCTGCCTCCTGGCCTCTGCACACACACACAGGGGACATACATCCCCTCTCATTCACACAACACACACACATACACAACAAATAGATAAATATATTTCCTGTTTCCTAATGCTACACAGTTCTCCCTGCAATTTCATTTCAGTCTCGGGTAGGGGTATGATGAGAGCTGGCACTGAATTTGAGGACAAATAAAAAGGAAAATAGCAAGGAAAGGAAATTCTACAATGTAAAATACAGACAATATTGACAATCGGCAGAAGAAAGGTGACATCACCAAAACAATTCCTCCAAGTAAGAAGAACCAGACTGGAGGACTCCCGGAGTGGCGACCAAGCCCACATAAGGAGATGGTTCACTCGAGATACCATCCGCGAGACTGTGTTAGAGGTAAAGCCAGACAGCCAGCAGCCAGCGCAGAGTTTCCCAGGCAGAGCTAGACTATTTCACACACTCACGGATACTTCCAATGAGGCCCAGCCTCAGTGAAGGCTGAGAGCAACAAGACAAATGTGGTCACGAGCTGCATCCCAAGAAGTCATGCCAAGGGAATGGATGGAAGGACACATGGTTTTCTTACCCTCTGGGCTTTCGCAAGTTCTTCTTTCAACCTTTCATAGCCCTTCTCTCTAACTTCCAGAACAGATGGGCTTCGTAAACGTGACAGGCTATCCGTACTCAACCCAAAGATGTCATCGCTGCAAACAGGAGCCTCTGTGACGGTGGCACCCTGCAAAAACTCCCTCTCAGCATTACAGCTGTCCTTCCTTGACGTCAGCTTCGTGAGGCCCACTGTCACTCCAGACGTCACAGACGATGCGGGGTCCGGAACGTGAACGCTGCAAGGAGAGGAAGCTCAGAAGGTGTGCAATAAACGTGCCAACGAACTAGGCGATCTACACTTAACTAACGGTGGGCTCGTGCCAGCTACACTTCAGGGCTCAACAGTGGCACGTGGTCAGTGGCTACCATTCATCAGCACAACACAGAAAGGGCTACTGAGTACTACTTCTCCAGGACAGGGACATGGCTGCAGCTGAAGGCTGAATCAAGTCTGCATGGCTCTCGTAAGGGCACAAGGCAGGAACTGATGACAAAGAATCAGTAACACTGTATGACCTGTAAAACTCAAGATGAAATTTCTGTGGCACAAGTTTTACCGGAAGAGTCATACTGATTCATTTACATACTGCCTGCAGAACAAAACTGAAGAACTGGTACAAAACCTGTATGGCCTGGGGCTGGAGAGAGGGCTTGGAGGTTAACAGCACTTGCTGTTCTTTCAGAGGACACAGATTTGAATCTCGGGCCTGGCATGATGCTAAAACCATCTGTAACTCAGTTCAGGGGATCTGATGCCGTCTTCCAGCCTCCATAGGTACTACACACGAGGTACAGATACATATGCAAGCAAAACATCCATATGCAGAAAGTAAATAAAATCTTTTAAAAAGGAAAACTATATGGCCTGCTAAACCTACAGTGGATATCGACATAAGTTTGCCAATTCCTGGTCTAAGGATTAAAATATATCACTCTACATGGGCATACTTTTATCATTTAAATTTTCTAAAAAGGATAATTTAAGACATCAAGCAAACTTTTAAAAATAACAATTATCCAAAATAAGTGTGGTGGCTCTCTGTACCTGATGTTAGGTATCTGCGTGCTGGTGACCTCACACCTGACATCGGGTATCTGCGTGCTGGTGACCTCACACCTGACATCGGGTATCTGCGTGCTGGTGATCTCACACCTGACATCGGGTATCTGCGTGCTGGAGATCTCACACCTGACATCGGGTATCTGCGTGCTGGAGATCTCACACCTGACATCGGGTATCTGCGTGCTGGAGATCTCACACCTGACATCGGGTATCTGCGTGCTGGTGACCTCACACCTGACACTGGGAATCTGATATGAGGTATCTGCGTGCTGGGATCTCATACCCAACACTGGGAATCTGATATGAGCTATCTGCGTGCTGGGATCTCATACCCGACACTGGGAATCTGATATGAGCTATCTGCGTGCTGGGATCTCATACCTGACATTGGGAATCTCCGCACAGTTTAAACGCCTAGGGGATGAGTACACAGGCTGTGTGGGAAGATCAGAAAGATCTAAGGCATTAGCCTGGAGAGGCGCAGAACATAAAGACGAAGGGTGTGGCCGGTAGATGACGCTCGGGGAGGTCGTCTGCTCTTGGGTTCCTGGGTCACACACACCAAGAAGGTCCGGAGAAGTAGGTGAAGCAAGATTCACTTCATGGAAGCCTTCCAAGGGGTCATTAGCCATAGCAAAGGCTTCATCCTAAGACAGTCTAAGCTAAAGCCAAAAGAGTACAGTTATTTTTAAGGACTTAATTCAAAACTGAATCAAAATACATAAGCTGTAAAACAATCTATATAAAGTTCATGCTTACAATAAAATACTGTTTAAAAAGAAAAAGAAAAAAACCTACTTAACATTTACAACGTGATCTCATGGTGGAAATACCACAGAAGGTAACCTGATTTGGAAGAGATATGAAAATACAGAAATACTGTCACAGTAGGTACAATTAACAGACATGAAGAAAAGCTTTCTTAATTTCTTAGCTTTGCTATCATCTATAACCTTAGAAAGAGAGATAAACACTTTTAGAACAAGCTAGCCCTAAGTTCAACTATCCTATCCTGCCTTGTACTGGATGTGACTTGGATAAACCACTGGTTTTTATTTTGAAAGCACTTTAAGGGGGCTGGAGAGATGGCTCAGCGGTTAAGAGTATTGCCTGCTCTTCCAAAGGTCCTGAGTTCAATTCCCAGCAACCACATGGTGGCTCACAACCATCTGTAATGAGGTTTGGTGCCCTCTTCTGGCCTGCAGGCATACACAGACAGAATATTGTATACATCATAAATAAATAAATATTTTTTTTAAAAAGGCATTTTAAATTGACATAAGAACTTCAGCGCTCCTGAGTAGCAGTCCCCACAATCTGGATGTTATTAACATGTCTGAGTCGTTTGAGAATGTTTCAACCCATTAATATGTACATATACACATGGACATACACACTGTATTCCAAGTCCAAGGATATTCTCCTAGCTGATCATAAAATCATCAAATCTAGGCAGTAAATGATTAAAATTACCACCAAATGCACAAGCCCCAATCAAAATTCACTGACTGCCCCACCGCTGTACTTCATGGTCAGGTCCCAGATCCAGTTCTGGGTTATATGTTCATTAACCTAAACCCAAATGGCGGACTAGGAATGGGCCTAACTACAACCCCCCACACCCCATCTCCTGGCTGCCATGAGCACGAAGGCAATCCCTAAAATCACTCAGGGATACTGTGCTCCTGAGAAACATTTACTTCATGGCCATTAAGAACAGCACGCTTCAGTTTCTACATTAGTAAAAATATATATACATAATATTGTTCAACGAATTTACAAAATGTTTGCAAAAAATAAGACATGTCTCCCTCCAGTTGCTCTCTCAATTGTAAAACCAAGAATCTTGTAAACCATTCAGTGATTTTTTTTTTTTAATCTACATGGAAAAGTCCAAAAAGTCAGAACCTATAAAGTCCCGAACCCACTCCTTTCCAATCTGGTCCTTCCTAGGGAAGCACTGGGAAGACTATGAGCCATCCTTCCTGAACCTTCATGTCAAACAGCAGCTGGACATGCCACTTCTTCCCCAATATACAGAAATACTCATTCACTTGTGAAACCAATAAATCACCAATAAAAAGCCTTATAAAATATCCAGCAGAGAATAAAAACGTTGCAGAAAGCAGAGACAATGTTAACAGCCTCTCAAAATCACAGACTACTACGTGACCATGTAGGGACAACCAAAATTTTATCAAATAAATCTATAAATTCCCAACTTCAAAGTAAATGAATTTATAAATAGCAAACTTATTGACAGCAAATGGTACTTTCTGTCCCCAAAGCTTAATAATTTATTGCAAAATATTTACTGTGCCAAATGAAAGCTCAGACAGTACTTTCTAAATTATCTTTTTCATTAAAAAAAGTAATTTCATTTATTATGTAATTCACACGCAAACACACAGCGAGGAAAAGTCTATGCTAAAAGTATATATTTCATTTTCATAAAGCTTACTAATTCATGCTAAGGTAAGAAAAACAACAACTTTGAGATAGTGTCTATTTGACAACCTCATGTATAACCATCTCATGACCGTATATCAAGCTCATTCCCCGTCACCTCCTCTTACCCCTCTCCCACTCGGGTTGATGCTTTCTTCTCCCAACGAGCCCCCCTCCCACCAGGTCCTTATTTTATCCATGCACGGCTTATGCAGGCAGCCACTGCTGCTGTGTGCCTAGCAACAGCCACGCCACACCCACAGAGCAGTGCCGGTGGTGTCCGTCCATCCTCTCGCTCTCATCCTCCCACCCTCTTGGGGATGCTCCCTGGGCCAGCCAGCAGGTGTACCACGCAGGACGGAGCACCCAGCATGCCTTGCTTGCAGGTCAGGACTGTAGCATGTAGGACCCACAGCTGGCTTAGACCACTGATGACTCTTCTCCCCCAGACGTCACAGCACCTTCCGGCACTGTGAACAGTAGGCAGCGGAGAGAGCTGCCAGCTCAGTGCCAGCCTGCTGTCTCCTGTCTCACATCCAGCACATGGTACCTCCTTCAGCAAAGGGCTCTTTACCACCTAAGCCTGCTGGTTAACCAAGGGCAAAGGCAGGAGCCTGTATTTAAGCTGAGATTTCAACAGTAACTATGGCCCTTCCTTCTATCCCGTGCGTATCTAATTCAACTTTGTATACCCTAAAGGCTCACCGAATTACAGAGTACAACTGCATTGTAATTTCTAGAAATGCAGAATGAGACAAATCTTCTGGAAGAAAACGTGGCGATACCTAGCAAAGTGGCAGGTTCGTGCAGCGTGCGACCCAGCATGCTCTTAGGGCTTCAGCCCAAAGACAAACAGGCAAACTGGAAAAAAAAAAAAAAAAAAAGAAACATATCATTTTTAACAGCAAAAGACTGACTTGCAAGGTGAGGAACGGTCTCATAATGAAGTGCTACTTGTGGATATAAGAAGACGAAGCGTATCTACACACACCGCTGTGAGTGACCTGAGGATGTGCTGATAAATCTAACAGCACGCAGGGAAACAGCTGTGTAGGTTCAGGAAGCCACTCTGAAAACCTTTATCCCAGCACGCATGTGGCGGACAGGAATAGTCCTCCTTCCACTGTGCCATGGGGACCTGGAATCACACAGGTGTGGCCCAGTCTGCTCACAGGCCCACAAGCTACTTCTAAATCTAGGAGAGGTGTGTACAAGTACAAACAGCCTTCTCAGCTACGGGATGTATGTAGCTGCACATACGTACATGTTTATCCTAGAACTGGAAGATTTTCCTAGAAACACAACCAGAAAAGTTTTCTATAGTGGGAGTGAGGAACCAGGTGGAGGGAACAGTGGCAAGGGCCAGACTCTCATTGTTTATAGGTTTGATTTTTAACTTGAAACCATATGAATATTAATTTTTTTAATCTTTGAAAGTAGAAACATCTAACATAGAGATGGTAGCTTAACCACATATAAAGTAAGTACTTCACATAACTTAAAAACAATAAAGTAAATCCTAACAATGTTTTCTAAAACAAGTGTAGTAGAAATATCATAAATTATTTCCAGTGATCATATTAGCAGTAACACTGATGGTTTTATTCTGAAACTATTATCCATGTAAAATCAAACAAGTAAGTTATCTTAATGTCATCTGTGACCAAAATGCTTTTAGGTATGACAAAAGTTTAATACAAATACAAACTCAAAAAAGCTAAATCTTAAGAGCCTTTAAATCAAAAACACTATTTTTTCCCTCTTGTGGAAAGACCTGCTCGTCAGCTTAGGAACTACTACTGTGCTCCCTGAAGATCCTCAAGCCCTTCTCTGTTCCTGCGTTAGTGGGTATTGTAATCCTCGTCTAGATCCGCTGAACTTATACTAAGCGGATTTTCTAAAAACATTTCCTCATGATCTAAGCCAGCTGCGTGATATACCGGACTGTAAGGATGAGCTTACTTTTCCCTTTATTTATCAGCTCTACAAACAATGAGTTGATCCCGGTGTGTCTTCTGTGACAGTGTGGTCTGAAGGCCACAAAAGAATGACTCAGTCCGTAAGAGCAGGATGCCCAGAATCCATGTCAACAGTGGGATATACTGGCATCCTACTTGGAACCCCAACACTGCTAGGGGGTGGGGGAGTGAGTGGCTTTCCCTGGGCAGCCAGGTTAATGAGACTGCCTCAAATGACAAGGTGTATGTTGCCTGAGCAACATTCGAGATTGACTTCTGGCCTCTATAAATACACATATGTACAGACAGACAGACAGACAGACACACACACACACACACACACACACACACACTACAGGAAAATCAAAGAAAGCAAAGGCAAAGGAATGCAGAAATAACAAGTGAAAGCCCTTCCTCCACTAAGATGAAACAAAGTTCTCAGCAGGGTGTTCAGGTGACCAAGTTATTGCCTCAAAACACTCACAAAACACAAATGCAATGGCTAACACAAAGGAGGGCATTGGGCCTGCTTCTGCTAAACTATCAGGACAGTCAGTGCGCACCAGTTCTCACAGCTGGAATCTGTACCATGACCTCTACCTTAAGGGTGGAAGATGGAGAAGCAGTTAGCACTTAGCAGCCCTGAGACATGTGCGTGCCTTCATTGCTTCTGTTGTGATGCACTTGAGCACTGATTAATGTCAAATCCCCTCAGGATTAACTCAGTCTCCAGGGATGGAGAGGACCTGTTGCTCTTGCAAAGGACCAGGGTCTGGTTTCAGGCACCCATCCATACCTCCTTACAGGAGATCTGGTGCCCCCTTCTGGCCTCTGGGGGCACTGCACACACGTGGCTCACATACATGCAGGACAACTTGGCTGGTTTCATACTCCCAAAGACCAAAGGAGACTTCCAATCAGGGGGAAACTAATCAGAAGAATGTGCTTCTGAATGTTGACATGCACTTGGTGTTACCATTTCTCCTTCTGAAGTCAGTATTCTCACAGCGGAAACAGCGACCAACCTCAACTGAAAGTTAACTTTCATGCAGGAGTATTAAGAAACCCCCATGTAGTAACTGATTAAATGATGCCCAGCAAAATCCAAGCAACTTCTTACAACAATGACATTTTTCTACATAAAATCCACACTTGAAATGAAAACTAAAGGATCCATAAGACAGCTCCAATCACTCAAATCATCGGGATGAGTTAGTGATGAAATATTTTCCGAGAAGTATCTTAGAAGCTGGGCATGGGAATACACGCCTGTACTCCCGCGTTCTGGCTACAGCTGGAGGATCTCCAGACTGAGGCCAGCCTGAGCTACATAAGGAACAGTCTCCAGAAAATAAAAATAAAGAAAGGGTAACGAATAAAAGAGCATCTGAGGACATGAATGAAATACACACTGAAAAGTGTCTGCACCCATAAGTCCCTCCACAGACACAGCAATCCAATCAGACCAAATCAAACCGAACTAGGAAAAGCCCAGGTTTAATGGGTACAACGTTCCCAGATGATTTTCCATTAAAACCAAGCATCTGTTTCCTGGAGGCAGTTTAAATACCCTGTTGGGAGTGGCCTTGAGCATCTCTGGGGGAGGGGCATCATTTGGTGGGCTTTCTGAGATGCTGTAGGGTTTGGAGAGAGATGGGGCGGGGGCTTGGGGTGAAACATCCACCAGAACACTATAAATAATATAAAAGCTAGGAACATGATACACAATAATAGTCCAAATGAACAAAAAAAAAAAACAAAAAAGGCATTTTCCCACTATGTATTCTCAATTTGACTTCCCTTGATAAATGAGAAGCCGAAAAGAATCATTTCCCAAATCAACTTGGTATATCTGAAAATTAATTTCTCTATTAATAAAAGAGAACTACACTTTAGAAACAGACAACGGTTACATGGCATCGGAGTAGAAACACTCATGCCGGAACAGAAAAGCTAAGGATCTCACCTCTTAAACATTTCTTTAATTATTAGTATTACTGTGCACGGGTGTGTGTAGGCATGAGACTGTCACAGGGCCCATGTGGAGGGGCAGAGAACAACCTGTAAGTTCGAGATCAACCCAATCTACATAAGGTCCAGGGCGACCCAGGCTACATATGAGACCCTGCCTCGAAACACCAAAACAGATTATAAGCACCATTTCCTTTTTTCAATGTATTCTTTGCTGACTACTGATCCATGCACTAAGGGCTGGGAAGACAGCTATATGCATCTCCACCGTTTTTTACCCCTTTTCTTTTTTTAGACAGGGTCTCTCTCACTAGATAGCCCTGGCTGATCTAGAACTTTCTAGGTAGACCAGGCTGGCTCCGCTTCTTGAATGCTGGATTTAAAGGAATGTGCCACCACACTGGCCAGATATTTTTTTTAATTCTCAGATGACTTTCAAATTTAGCATGGATGTTTAAAGTCTGGCTCTTGACATTAAACATTAGATTGCTACTTCAACAGTATATCATAAACTGAAGTGTTACCAATTCTACCTATTAGTTCACTTCCTTAAACATCTCTGTTATATACAACAGAAGGATGGTCGCCAGCTTCAGCTCATCAAGGCACAGCCTGGTGCTGATGTCTAAGAACACAGCAGCAGACAGGCTAAATCGATGATATGTGGTCCATGAGAGCCAGGGATGACCCTGCAGGCACAGGGGATGGAGGAGAAGGGTGCTCTAAGGAGAGTAAATTACAACTTACATCTTAAATGCTAAGTAGGCGTCCACTGGATTGACAAAGCAGGGAGGTAAGACAGGATGCTCAGGGAATTCAGGTCTGACACTAAGGACACCAGCAAAGGAAAGAGTGGCAGATAATCAAGCAGGGAAGGCAGCTGAGGGACAGACTATTAAATGCTTCATTTAACAAGAAAATGTTGCTTGGCGTTGATCCTGAAGAGTCAGACCTTCATGGGAAATGCAGCCAGACTGTAATACAATCACTGGGGAAAGGACTCCAAGGTGGGGATGGCTTTAAATAGAGGGAACGTTCAATGGTTCCCACAAAGGACTACGTAAATGACAAAGGTCAGACCAACACTGCCGAGGTCCCACCTCGGAATACCTAGAGCAGGAGTTGGATGTTTGCTTTTTATCTGCACATATGCAGAACCTAGCTGAGCATCACAGCGTCCTCTAAAATGTCCCAGTCTATACTTTACAGAACAGACTCAGAGACAGGGATGAGTCGAGGTCAAATAGTCCACAAATAAGTAAGAAGAGGCAAGCCTGGCTGTGTCTGACGCCAACACTTGCCCCACTACACTAAAGACACAGTTACAAGACAAACTGACTGAAGGACAGGGACAGCAGAGCCAGAAAGACAAAGGGTTTCTAAGGCCAGCTCATCACATCCACCCTGAGAGGTGATGAACACCCACACAGAAGAACGTTAACAACTCAACTCCATTGTTTCCTTAAGCACAGTCACCGAAGTCAACACTGGCCACTTTTTGTGTCCTTCCTATTCTTTCCCTCTCCTTCGCTGGTTGCAATCACCATGTCCTCCTTTGTTTATTACTTTGCTGAGATTTTTTTTTAACTTGTTAAAGTCTTTTAGAGAGCTGTGTGTGCGTGTGTGCATGTGCGTGCGTGGGTGCGTGCATATGTGCATGTCCCTGTGGGTGTGGGGACCAGAGGACAATACCTCTGGTGCTGTTACTCAAGCACATTCACCCTGCTTGTTTGATGAAGGGTCTCTCACTGACCTGGAGCTCATGAGCTCTGCTAGACTAGCTCTAGAGATCGGCTGATTTCAGCCTCCCCGACACTGGGATCCCAGGTGCAGTCACCAGACCAAACCTGTGGTGGTCTGAATGAGGAATGTACCCACAGGCTCTCCTACAGAACACTGGTTCTCAGCTGATTTGGGGAGGTGGTGCTCCATTGGGGGTACACTTTGGGAGCACATAGCCTAACCCTACTTCCCTGCTTCATGCCTGCTCTCTCTGCTTCCTGCTCTGGCTGCCTGCTGCCACGCTGTCCCCACCGGTATGGATTCCTAAGCTGCTGGAACTATAATCCACAATAAACTCTGCTATAAGCTGCTTTCGTCATGTTTTATCACAGCAGCAGAACAGTAACTAATACACAGCGTTTTACATGGAGATCAAAGTCAAGCAATCCCTTTACCAACTGAGCCTTCTCCTCCACTTCCCTCACAGGGCCTCAAAAAGGATAACATGCAAATTAAAAGGAACAGTAGCTTGATTTACTGAAGCCAATGTATTCCTGTGTCTTATTCAGCTGCTAAAAATGAATAAAATCTACCATTTTTTGGTTACTAGCAGCAAAATAGGTTAGGCACAGAAAAAGATAAGGATTCCCATTTCCCCAGCTAGTGTAGAAACTTAAAACATTGGTGTTTGTTAACCACGAGCAACAAATCTCTCAAACTCCCACATTCTGCTAACTTCCACCTTCTTCTAAGCCTTGGTCGGCAGCTGTAGCTACTGAACCATGCTGCCAACATTCAGGGGTCAGTCTACGGACGACTCCAGACAACTTAAGTGTGCCTAACTACCTCGTTCAGCTGTGAGGTGAAGGAAAAGGCAGACAGCATAATCCAAGCTGCCAAAGGCACCCCTCTTACTTCTGTGGTCCCCCTGGCTAGTTCTGAGCGCGTCAATTTCTACAGTCAGCACAACTGCACAGGCTTATCCGGTGCAATCCCTCCTGAGCACGGAGCCCAAGGCTGACGATCTCAGCTGGGGTAGGATAAAGCCAGCTGCCCCTGAGCTCACAGACCCACCTCCACAGGCATGCATCCAGTTCACGAGAGAAGTACAAATGCAGCGCAAATATCAAAATTAGTAAATAACAAGCCAGAAATACGTACTCAACACGACAGCAGGGAGGGAGGGCATGGAAGTACCTTTCCGCCATCACGGAAGCGAGGGTTACAGTAAAAGCCCATAGCCAACACAGTCGTGTCCAGGCAATGGGGGTGGGGAGGGAGGTGGGGGTGATATTAGTTAAGAACAGCATCACCGCACAGGAAAAACTAACTACAGAGTTTTTCAAAACCCTGACATCTGATTTCTAGAGCACCAAGTATATAGAGTAGCAAAACTGGGTGTCCTGCAGAATTATATATTGGCCAAAAGTTTAGTTTTAAAGTGTTATCTTCCCAAACTATACCCTTATTGCTTTCTGTCATTACCGAACACACCTACCTACTAGTCACTCCGGCTTCCGCCCCAGTACCCAACTACTGTAACCTTCTGTTTTGGCACTCAACAATTGTATACACATATTTTCACATCCATATGTGTATATACATCCGTCTCTATGTTTTCTGCTGCGAGCTTTTGCTTTTTTTGTATCCTGAGACCTGGATACAGGCTAAGCCAGCCCCTCCACCACTGAGCTACATCCCAGCTTCCTCTAAGTTTTGAGGAGCACATTATATAATTAATAAGGAACATCCCATGCTCCTACCTTAGACTCTACAGCTTCCTTTAACCCCAATGGACTTGCAGAGCAGATATCCAATGAATATTGTATTTAAAAGGCTCTGGTAGCATGAGAATTACATATTACACTCATATAACTATCTCATAAACGCTAAATTAAAAACATTTTTTAGCGTTACGACCTACACATGCGGTGGCAGGGCAGTAATTAAGAACAGGCAATCCTTCAAGCACGAACTGGTGGGATGGGGTGACTAAGAGCAAGCACAGCCTATCCAACAAGAAGCAATGGTCCCCAGCCCTGCCACCGAAGCCGGCTGACTCCTCAGCTACCTGTCACTAATTAGCCATCCGATCCCAGCTAAGCCACACAACTGCTCACGTCTCAATTTTCTCAACTATAAAAGGCCAGGGGTAATAAATGATCTAGCTCCTGGCTGGGGGGGGGGGGGGGGG